CGACGCGTGGTCAAACACGTCCTGGAGGTGACCGGGGATCCATGGGGAATCCATGGAAATGGCAGGAAATCCAAGGGGGATCCATGGGGATCCATGGGGGATCCATGGGGGAATCCATGGGGAATCCAAGGGGAATCCATGGGGAATCTATGGAAAAATGGCAGGGAATCCATGGGGGAATCCATGGGGGGATCCAAGGGGAATCCGTGGGGGATTCAAGGGGGATTCAAGGGGAATCCATGGGGGATCCATGGGGAATCCAGGGGGGAATGGCGGGGAATCCATGGGGGATCCATGGGGGATCCAGGGGGAATCCATGGGGAATCCAGGGGGGATCCAGGGGGGATCCAGGGGGGATCCATGGAAAATGGCAGGAAATCCATGGGGAATCCAGGGGGGATCCATGGGGATCCAGGGGGAATGGCAGGGAATCCATGGGAAATCTGTGGGAGATCCATGGGGAATCCATGGGGGATCCAGGGGGGAATCCATGGGGAATCCATGGAAAATGGCAGGAAATCCATGGGGAATCCATGGGGATCCAGGGGGGATCCAGGGGGGAATGGCGGGGAATCCATGGGGGATCCATGGGGGAATCCATTGGGAATCCAGGGGGGATCCAAGGGGGATCCAAGGGGGATCAAAGGGGAATCCATGGGGGAATGGCAGGAAATCCATGGGGAATCCATGGGGGATCCACAGGGGATCCAAGGGGAATCCATGGGGGATCCATGGGGGATCCATGGGGAATCCACAGGGGATCCACAGGGGATCCACAGGGGATCCATGGGGGAATGGTGGGGAATCCATGGGGAATCCAAGGGGAATCCATGGGGAATCCAAGGGGGATCCATGGGGAATCCATGGGGGATCCAAGGGGAATCCATGGGGGAATGGCAGGGAATCCACGGGGGATCCACGGGGGATCCAAGGGGAATCCATGGGGAATCCGTGGGGGATCCAAGGGGGGATCCAAGGGGAATCCATGGGGGAATCCATGGAAAATGGCAGGGAATCCATGGGGGAATCCATGGGGGATCCAGGGGGGGATCCAGGGGGAATCCATGGGGGAATGGCAGGGAATCCATGGAAAATGGCAGGGAATCCAAGGGGAATCCATGGGGAATCTATGGGGGATCTATGGGGAATCCATGGGGGAATCCAGGGGGAATCCAAGGGGAATCCATGGGGAATCTATGGGGAATCCATGGGGGATCCATGGGGGATCCACAGGGGATCCATGGGGGAATGGCAGGGAATCCATGGGGAATCCATGGGAATCCATGGAAAATGGCAGGAAATCCATGGGGGATCCATGGGGAATCCATGGGGGATCAAAGGGGAATCCAGGGGGAATCCATGGGGAATCCATGGGGAATCCAAGGGGGATCCACAGGGGATCCATGGGGAATGGCAGGAAATCCATGGGGGATCCATGGGAAACCTGTGGGAAGTCCATTGGAAATCCATTGGAATTCTGTGGGAAAACCATTGGAAATACATTGGAAATGTCAGGAAATCCATGGGGGATCCATGGGGAATCCATGGGGAATCCAAGGGGAGTCCATGGAAAATGGCAGGGAATCCATGGGGAATCTGTGGAAATCCATTGCAAATCCATTGGAAATCCATTGGAATTCTGTGGAAAATGGCAGGAAATCTGTGGGGAATCCATGGGAAATCCATGGGAAATCCATGGGGAACATACAGGGAATCTGTGGGAAATGGCAGGAAATCCGTGGGGAATCCATGGAGGATCCATGAGAGACCTGTGGGAAATCCATTGGAAATGCCTGGGAAATCCATGGGGAGTTCGTGGGAAATCCATTGGAAATGCCTGGGAAATCCCTGGGGGATCCATTGGAATTCCGTGGGAAATCCCTGGAGGATCCATTGGAATTCAGTGGGAAATCCCTGGGGGATCCATTGGAATTCTGTGGGAAATCCCTGGGGGATCCATGGGAATTCAGTGGGAAATCCCTGGGGGATCCATGGGAATTCAGTGGGAAATCCCTGGGGGATCCATGGGAATCCCCTCATATTTCAGTCCCGAGGGTGATTCCAGAAGGATTTTTCTGCTTTTCCCCCCCATTCCTGGGGGTTTTCCCCCACTCCTCTCCTTGCCCCTGGATTCTCCCCCATTCCAGGCCATTTTTCCCCTGGATTTTCCCCCTGGATTTTCCCCTGGATTTTCCCCTGGATTTCCCCCTGGATTTCCCCTGGATTTTCCCCTGGATTTCCCCCTGGATTCTCCCTCCTCATTCCCTGGATTTTCCCTGGATTTTCCCCTGGATTTTCCCCTGGATTTTCCCCTGGATTTTCCCCTGGATTTTCCCCTGGATTCTCCCCCATTCCCTGGATTTTCCCCTGGATTTTCCCTCATTCCCTGGATTTTCCCCTGGATTTTCCCCTAGGATTTTTCCCTGGATTTTCCCCTGGATTTTCCCTCATTCCCTGGATTTTCCCCTGGATTTTCCCCTGGATTTTCCCCTGGATTTTCCCCTGGATTTTGCCCTGGATTTCCCCCTGGATTTTCCCTTGGATTTCCCCTGGATTTTCCCCTGGATTCTCCCTCATTCCCTGGATTTTCCCTGGATTTCCCCCATTCCCTGGATTTTCCCCTGGATTTTCCCCTGGATTCTCCCTCATTCCCTGGATTTTCCCCCTGGATTTTCCCCTGGATTTTCCCCCATTCCCTGGATTTTCCCCTGGATTTTCCCCTGGATTCTCCCTCATTCCCTGGATTTTCCCCTGGATTTTCCCCTGGATTCTCCCTCATTCCCTGGATTTTCCCCTGGATTTTCCCCTGGATTTTCCCCTGGATTCTCCCTCATTCCCTGGATTTTCCCCTGGATTTTCCCCTGGATTTTCCCCTGGATTTTTCCCCTGGATTTTCCCCTGGATTTTCCCCTGGATTTTCCCTGGATTTTCCCTGGATTTTCCCTGGATTCTCTCTCATTCCCTGGATTTTCCAGGGCCATGACCGGGGTGTGAACTGGGCCGCCTTCCACCCCTCCATGCCCCTCATCGTGTCCGGGGCCGACGACCGCCAGGTCAAGATCTGGAGGATGAACGGTGAGGAAAAAATGGGAAAAAATGGGGAAAAAAATGGGAGAAAAATGGGGAAAAATGGGGAAAAATGGGGAAAAAAATGGGGAAAAAACGGGGAAAAATGGGGAAAAAATGGGGAAAAAAACGGGGAAAAATGGGGAAAAAAAACGGGGGAAAAAAAAGGAAAAATGGAAAAAAAATGGGGAAAACCCGTGGGAAAACCTAGGAAAAAACTGAGGAAAAAAATGGGAAAAAAGGGGAAAAAATGGGAAAAAAAACGAGGGAAAAACTGGGAAAAAAAAAAACGAGGAAAAAAATGGGAATAAATGGGGAAAAAATAGGAAAAAAAACCGAGAAGAAAAAGGGAAAAAAACGAGGAAAAAAATGGGAAAAAATGGGGAAAAAATGGGAAAAAATCAGAGAAAAAAAAGGAAAAAACCAGGAAAAAAATAAGGGAAAAAATGGGAAAAAACCAAGGAAAAAAATGAGAAAGAACCAGGAAAAAACCGAAGGAAAAAAAAGGAAAAAACTGAGGAAAATAGTGGGAAAAAAAACCAGGGAAAAATGGGAAAAAAAAGGAAAAAATGGGAAAAAAAAACGGGGAAAAAAATGGGAAAAAAAATGGAAAAAAACCAGGAAAAAGGCTCAGGATTCCAGAATCCAAGGCCTGGGTGGTGGCCACGTGCTGGGCTGGTTTCTCCCTTTCTCTGCTGTTTTTTTCCCATTTTCCCCTTGTTTCTCCCCATTCCATGAATTTTTCCCATTTCTCTGGGATTTTTTCCCATTTCTCTGTGTTTTTTCCCATTTCTCTGGGATTTTTCCCCATTTTCCCCGGATTTCCCCCTGTTTTTTTCCAGAATCCAAGGCCTGGGTGGTGGCCATGCTCTGGGCTGGTTTCTCCTTTTCTCTGCTGGTTTTTTCCCATTTTCCTGTTGTTTCTCCCCATTCCCCTGCATTCTCTCCCCATTCCCTGAATTTTTTCCCATTTCTCTGGGATTTTTTCCCATTTCTCTGGGATTTTTCCCCCATTTTCCCTGGATTCCCCCCTGGATTTTCCAGAATCCAATCCATGGGTAGTGGCCACTTGCCAAGCTGCTTTCTCCCTTTCTCTGCTGGTTTTTTCCCATTTTCCCATTGTTTCTCCCCATTCCCCTGCATTCTCTCCCCATTCCATGAATTTTTTCCCATTCCATGAATTTTTTCTCATTTCTCTGGGATTTTTCCCCATTTCTCTGGGATTTTTTTCCCATTTCTCTGGGATTTTTTCCCATTTCTCTGGGATTTTTCCCCATTTCTCTGGATTTTTCCCCGTTTTCCCTGGATTTCCCCCTGTTTTTTTCCAGAATCCAATCCATGGGTGGTGGCCACGCTCTGGGCTGCTTTCTCCCTTTCTCTGCTGTTTTTTTCCCATTTTCCCCTTGTTTCTCCCCATTCCATGAATTTTTCCCCATTTCTCTGGGATTTTTTTCCCATTCTCTGGATTTTTCCCCATTTCTCCGTGATTTTTCCCCATTTCTCTGTGTTTTTTCCCCATTTCTCTGGGATTTTTCCCCATTTCTCTGGGATTTTTCCCCATTTCTCCGGGATTTTTTTTCCCCCCGTTTTCCCTGGATTCCCCCCTGTTTTTTTCCAGAATCCAATCCATGGGTAGTGGCCACGTGCTGGGCTGGTTTCTCCCTTTCTCTGCTGTTCTTTTCCCATTTTCCCCTTGTTTCTCCCCATTCCATGAATATTTTTTCCCATTTCTCTGTGGTTTTTTCCCATTTCTCTGGGATTGTTTCCCTGTTTTCCCTGGATTTCCCCCTGGTTTTCCCAGAATCCAAGGCCTGGGAGGTGGCCACGTGCTGGGCTGCTTTCTCCCTTTCTCTGCTGGTTTTTCCCATTTCCCATCATTTCTCCCCATTCCCTTGGTGCCTCTCCTCATTCCACAAATATTTTCCCATTTCTCTGTGTTTTTTCCCATTTCTCTGGGATTTTTCCCCATCTCTCTGTGTTTTTTTCCCCATTTCTCCGGGATTTTTTCCCATTTCTCTGGGATTTTTTCCCATTTCTCTGTGTTTTTTCCCCATTTCTCCGTGATTTTTCCCCGTTTTCCCTGGATTTCCCCCTGTTTTTTTCCAGAATCCAATCCATGGGTAGTGGCCACTTGCTGGGCTGGTTTCTCCCTTTCTCTGCTGTATTTTCCCATTTTCCTGTTGTTTCTCCCCATTTCCCTGCATTCTCTCCCCATTCCATGAATTTTTTCCCCATTTCTCTGGGATTTTTTCCCATTTCTCTGTGGTTTTTTCCCATTTCTCCGTGATTTTTCCCCATTTTCCCTGGATTTCCCCCTGGTTTTCCCAGAATCCAAGGCCTGGGTGGTGGCCACTTGTGAGGCTGCTTTCTCCTTTTCTCTGCTGTATTTTCCCATTTCCCTGCTGTTTCTCCCCATTCCATGAATTTTTTCCCATTTCTCTGGGATTTTTCCCCATTTCTCTGGGATTTTTTCCCCATTTCTCCGTGATTTTTCCCCCCTTTTCCCTGGATTTCCCCCTGTTTTTTCCCAGAATCCAAGGCCTGGGAGGTGGCCACGCTCTGGGCTGGTTTCTCCCTTTCTCTGCTGTTTTTTTCCCATTTCCCCATCATTTCTCCCCATTTCCTTGGGGTCTTTCCCCATTTCCCTGCTGTTTCTTCCCTTTCCATTAATTTTTTCCCATTTCTCTGGGATTTTTCCCCATTTCTCCAGGATTTTTTTCCCATTTCTCCGTGATTTTTCCCCATTTTCCCTGGATTCCCCCCTGTTTTTCCCAGAATCCAAGGCCTGGGAGGTGGCCACGTGCTGGGCTGGTTTCTCCTTTTCTCTGCTGTTTTTTTCCCATTTTCCTGTTGTTTCTCCCCATTCCCCTGCTGGTTTCCCATTTCTCTGTGTTTTTTTCCCCATTCCATGAATTTTTTCCCATTTCTCTGGGATTTTTCCCATTTCTCCGTGATTTTTCCCCGTTTTCCCTGGATTTCCCCCTGTTTTTCCCAGAATCCAAGGGCCTGGGAGGTGGACACGTGCTGGGCTGGTTTCTCCCTTTCTCTGCTGTTTTTTTCCCATTTCCCCGTTGTTTCTCCCATTCCCCTGCATTCTCTCCCCATTCCACGAATATTTTCCCATTTCTCTGGGATTTTTTTCCCCGTTTTCCCTGGATTCCCCCCTGTTTTTTTCCAGGATCCAATCCATGGGTGGTGGCCACTTGCTGGGCTGGTTTCTCCCTTTCTCTGCTGTTCTTTTCCCATTTTCCCCTTGTTTCTCCCCATTCCATGAATATTTTTTCCCATTTCTCTGGGATTTTTTTCCCATTTCTCTGGGATTTTTTCCCTTTTTCCCCAGATTTTTCCTGTTTTTTTCCAGAATCCAAGTCCTGGGTGGTGGCCACGTGCTGGGCTGGTTTCTCCTTTTCTCTGCTGTTTTTTTCCCATTTCCCCATTGTTTCTCCCCATTTCCTTGGGGTCTTTCCCCATTTCCCTGCATTCTCTCCCCATTCCATGAATTTTTTCCCATTTCTCTGGGATTTTTCCCATTTCTCCGTGATTTTTCCCCGTTTTCCCTGGATTTCCCCCTGGATTTTCCAGAATCCAAGCCATGGGTGGTGGCCACTTTCCAAGCTGCTTTCTTCCTTTCTCTGCTGTTTTTTTCCCATTCCCCTGTATTCTCTCCCCATTCCATGAATTTTTTCCCATTTCTCTGGGATTTTTCCCCCATTTCTCTGGATTTTCCCCCGTTTTTCCCAGAATCCAAGGCCTGGGAGGTGGCCACGTGCTGGGCTGGTTTCTCCCATTTTCTGCTGTATTTTCCCATTTTCCTGTTGTTTCTCCCCATTTCCCTGCATTCTCTCCCCATTCCCTGAATTTTTTCCCATTTCTCTGGGATTTTTTCCCATTTCTCTGTGTTTTTTCCCCATTTCTCTGGGATTTTTCCCCGTTTTCCCTGGATTTCCCCCTGTTTTTCACAGAATCCAAGGCCTGGGAGGTGGCCACGTGCTGGGCTGGTTTCTCCTTTTCTCTGCTGTATTTTCCCATTTCCCCGTTGTTTCTCCTCATTCCATGAATATTTTTTCCCATTTCTCTGGGATTTTTTCCAATTTCTCTGGGATTTTTTTCCCATTTCTCTGGGATTTTTCCCATTTCTCTGGGATTTTTCCCCATTTCTCCGGGATTTTTTTTTCCCTTTTTCCCTGGATTTCCCCCTGGACTTTCCAGAATCCAATCCATGGGAGGTGGCCACGTGCTGGGCTGGTTTCTCCTTTTCTCTGCTGTTTTTTCCCATTTTCCCGTTGTTTCTCCTCATTCCATGAATTTTTTCCCATTTCTCTGGGATTTTTTCCCATTTCTCCATGATTTTTTTGCCTTTTCCCCGGATTTTTCCCTGGATTTTTCCAGAGTCCAAGCCATGGGAGGTGGACACGTGCTGGGCTGGTTTCTCCTTTTCTCTGCTGTTTTTTTCCCATTTCCCTGCTGTTTCTCCCCATTCCATGAATTTTTTCCCATTTCTCTGGGATTTTTTCCCATTTCTCTGGGATTTTTTCCCCGTTTTCCCTGGATTTCCCCCTGTTTTTCCCAGAATCCAATCCATGGGAGGTGGCCACGTGCTGGGCTGGTTTCTCCCTTTCTCTGCTGTATTTTCTCATTTCCCTGCTGTTTCTCCCTCATTCCATGAATTTTTTCCCATTTCTCTGGGATTTTTCCCATTTCTCCGGGATTTTTCCCCATTTCTCTGTGATTTTCTCCTGTTTTCCCTGGATTTTCCCCTGGATTTCCCCCTGTTTTTCCCAGAATCCAAGGCCTGGGAGGTGGCCACTTTCCAAGCTGCTTTCTCCCTTTCTCTGCTGTTTTTTCCCATTCCCCTGCATTCTCTCCCCATTCCATGAATTTTTTCCCCATTCCATGAATTTTTCCCCATTTCTCTGGGATTTTTTTCCCATTTCTCTGGGATTTTTCCCATTTCTCCGTGATTTTTCCCCGTTTTCCCTGGATTTCCCCCCTGGATTTTCCAGAATCCAAGGCCTGGGAGGTGGCCACGTGCCGGGCTGGTTTCTCCCATTTTCTGCTGTATTTTCCCATTTCCCCATTGTTTCTCCCCATTCCCCTGCATTCTCTCCCCATTCCATGAATTTTTTCCCATTTCTCTGGGATTTTTTCCCTTTTTTCCCCAGATTTTTCCAGAATCCAAGCCATGGCAGGTGGCCACGTGCTGGGCTGGTTTCTCCCTTTCTCTGCTGTTTTTTCCCCATTTTCCCATTGTTTCTCCCCATTCCCCTGCTGGTTTCCCATTTCTCTGGGATTTTTTTCCCATTTCTCTGGGATTTTTCCCCATTTCTCCGGGATTTTTTCCCCATTTCTCCGGGATTTTTTCCCATTTCTCCGGGATTTTTCCCCCGTTTTCCCTGGATTTCCCCCTGTTTTTCCCAGAATCCAATCCATGGGTAGTGGCCACTTGCCAAGCTGCTTTCTCCTTTTCTCTGCTGTTTTTTTTCCCATTTCCCTGCTGTTTCTCCCCATTTCTCTGGGATTTTTCCCATTTCTCTGTGTTTTTTCCCCATTTCTCCGGGATTTTCTCCCATTTCTCCGTGATTTTCCCCCGTTTTCCCTGGATTTCCCCCTGGTTTTCCCAGAATCCAAGGCCTGGGAGGTGGACACGTGCCGGGGCCACTACAACAACGTTTCCTGCGCCGTTTTCCACCCGCGCCAGGAGCTGATCCTCAGCAATTCCGAGGACAAGAGCATCCGGGTGTGGGACATGTCCAAGCGGTCGGTGCCGCCCCGGGGCCGGGAGGGACCCTCGGAATTCCCGGGATTGAGGCAATTCCAGGATTTTCCCCTCCCCTCCCCTTCCAGGACCGGAGTCCAAACGTTCCGGCGCGACCACGACCGGTTCTGGGTGCTGGCGGCGCATCCCAACCTCAACCTGTTCGCTGCCGGTGAGCCCCGGATTCCGGCTGGGAATTCCTGGATTCCGGCTGGGAATTCCCGAATTCCGGCTGGGAATTCCTGGATTCCGGCTGGGAATTCCTGAATTCCGGCTGGGAATTCCCAAATTCCGGCTGGGAATTCCTGAAACACCCTCAGGAACCCCCGAATTTCCGGCTGGGAATTCCCAAATTCCGGCTGGGAATTCCCAGATTCCGGCTGGGAAACCTTGAATTCCGGTTGGGAATTCCTGAAACACCTCAGGAACCCCCGAATTCCGGCTGGGAATTCCCAAATTCCGGCTGGGAATTCCCAGATTCCGGCTGGGAACCCTTGAATTCCGGTTGGGGAATTCCTGAAACGCCCTCAGGAACCCCCAAATTCCGGCTGGGAACCCCTGAATTCCTGCTGGGAATTCCTGAATTCCATCTGGGAACCCTTGAATTCCGGCTGGGAATTCCCGAATTCCGGCTGGGAACCCCTGAATTCCGGCTGGGAATTCCTGAAACGCCCTCAGGAACCCCCAAATTCCGGCTGGGAATTCCCAAATTCTGGCTGGGAATTCCCGGAACGCCCTTAGGAACCCCCAAATTCCAGCTGGGAATTCCTGAAATGCCCTCAGGAACCCCCGAATTCCGGCTGGGAACCCCCAAATTCCGGCTGGGAATTCCCGGATTCCGGCTGGGAATCCCCAAACTCCATCTGGGAATCCCTAAATTCTGGCTGGGAGTCCCCAAATTCCAGCTGGGAACCCCCAAAATTCCATCTGGGAACCCTCGAATTCCGGCTGGGAACTCCCGAATTCCGGCTGGGAATTCCCAGATTCCATCTGGGGATCCCCAAATTCTGTCAGGGGATCCTCAAAATTCCATCTGGGAACCCCCAAATTCTGGCTGGAGATCCCCAAATTCCAGCTGGAAACCCCCACATTCCATCTGGGAGTCCCCAAATTCCAGCTGGGAGTCCCAAAATACCCTTAGGAACCCCAAAGTTACAGCTGCGAGTCCCAAATTCCATCTGGGGATCTCCACATTCCGGCTGGGAATCCCCACATTCCGGCTGGGAGTCCCCAGATTCCGGCTGGGATACCCTGAAATACTTCCAGGAGCTCCAGATTCCTCCAGGAACCTGAAATTCCAGGTGTCATTCCCGGTGTTTTTTTCTGGAATTCTGGGTGGTTTCCCCCCAGGTCAGCTGCTGCTCCCCATTCCCATCCCAAATTCCCGGTGTTCTTCCCCAGAACTCCTGCTGTAATTCCAGGCTTTTTTCCTGGCATTCTGTCTGTAATTCCTGGTGTAATTCCAGGTGATTTTCCCTGGAATTCCAGGTGTAACTCCTGCTGCTATTCCGGGTGTTTTCCCTGTAATTCCGGGTGTGATTCCCACTGCTGTTCCGGGTATTTTTCCCTGTAATTCTGGGTGTTTTCCCCTGGAATTCCGGGTGTTTTCCCCTGGAATTCCCGGTGTGATTCCTGCTGATATTCCGGGTATTTTTCCCTGGAATTCCTGGTGTGATTCCAGCTGTAACTCCCGGTGTTTTCCCCTGTAACTCCCGGTGTAATTCCAGCTGTAACTCCCGGTGTTTTCCCCTGTAATTCGGGATTTTCCCCTGTAATTCCGGGTGTGATTCCCGCTGTAACTCCGGGATTTTCCCCCTGGCATTCCCGGTGTAATTCCCGCTGCTATTCTGGGTGTTTTGCCCTGGAATTCCCGGTGTGATTCCCGCTGTAACTCCGGGATTTTCCCCTGTAACTCTGAGTATTTTTCCCCTGTAACTCCAGGTGTGATTCCCACTGTAACTCCCAGTGTTTTCCCTGTAATTCCGGGTGTAATCCCGCTGTAATTCCAGGTGTTTTCCCCTGTAATTCCGGGATTTTCCCCTGGAATTCCCGGTGTGATTCCAGCTGTAACTCTGGGTGTTTTCCCCTGTAACTCTGGGTGTGATTCCTGCTGTAATTCCGGGATTTTCCCACTGTAATTCCGGGTGTAATTCCCGCTGTAATTCCGGATTTTCCCCTGGAATTCCTGTTGTGATTCCTGCTGTAACTCCGGGATTTTCCCCTGTAATTCCCGGTGTTTTTCCCGCTGTAATCCGGGTATTTTCCCGCTGTAATTCCTCTGTAATTCCGGGTGTTTTCCCCTGTAACTCCGGGTGTGATTCCCACTGTAATTCCCGGTGTGATTCCCGCTGTAACTCACCGGGATTTTCCCCTGGCATTCCCGCTGTAACTCCGGGTATTTTCCCGCTGTAATTCCCTCTGTAATTCCCGGATTTCCCCTCCCAGGGCACGACGGGGGCATGCTGGTGTTCAAGCTGGAGCGGAGCGGCCGGCGCTGGCCGTGCACGGCAATTCCCTGTTCTACGTCAAGGATCGATTCCTGCGGCAGCTCGACTTCGGCAGCTCCCGCGACGTGGCCGTCATGCAGCTCCGCAGGCATGGGGCACCAAATCCATCCCAAAATCCCCAAATCCATCCTGAAATCCATCCCAAAATCCACCCTGAAACCCACCCCCAAACCCACCCCAAATCCATCCCAAATCCATCCTGAAATCCCTGAAATCCATCCCAAATCCACCCTGAAATCCCTGAAATCCATCCCCAAATCCCTGAAACCCATCCCAAAATCCATCCCAAAACCCATCCCCAAATCCACCCCAAAGTCCCTGAAATCCATCCCAAAATCCATCCTAAAATCCGTCCTAAAATCCCTGAAACCCATCCCCAAATCCACCCCAAAATCCCCGAAACCCATCCCCAAATCCATCCCCAAATCCACCCTGAAATCCACCCCCAAATCCACCCCAAATCCATCCTGAAATCCATCCCAAACTCCACCCCAAATCCACCCCAAATCCCTGAAACCCATCCCCAAATCCATCCCCAAATCCATCCTGAAATCCACCCCAAATCCACCCCAAATCCATCCCAAATCCATCCCCAAAATCCACCCCAAATCCACCCCAAAATCCACCCCAAATCCACCCCAAATCCACCCCAAATCCATCCTGAAATCCACCCCAAATCCACCCCAAATCCACCCCAAATCCATCCTGAAATCCATCCCAAACTCCACCCCAAATCCATCCCCAAATCCATCCCCAAATCCATCCCCAAATCCATCCCCAAATCCATCCCCAAATCCATCCCCAAATCCACCCCAAATCCACCCCAAATCCATCCCAAATCCATCCCCAAATCCATCCCCAAATCCATCCCCAAATCCATCCCAAATCCATCCTGAAATCCCCAAAATCCATCCCCAAATCCACCCCAAATCCATCCTGAAATCCACCCCAAATCCATCCCAAATCCACCCCAAATCCACCCCAAATCCATCCCCCAAATCCATCCCCAAATCCACCCCAAATCCACCCAAAATCCCCAAAATCCACCCCAAATCCATCCCAAAATCCATCCCCAAATCCATCCTGAAATCCATCCCAAATCCATCCTGAAATCCATCCCCAAATCCACCCCAAAATCCCCAAAATCCATTCCAAATCCATCCTAAAATCCATCCTGAAATCCCCAAAATCCATCCCCAAATCCACCCTGAAATCCATCCCCAAATCCATCCCAAAATCCATCCCCAAAGCCACCCTGAAATCCCTGAAATCCATCCCCAAATCCCTGAAACCCATCCCAAAATCCATCCCAAAACCCATCCCTAAATCCACCCCAAAGTCCCTGAAATCCATCCCAAAATCCATCCTAAAATCCGTCCTAAAATCCCTGAAACCCATCCCCAAATCCATCCTGAAATCCATCCCAAAATCCATCCCAACCCCCCCCAGAGTTCCCAAATTCTCCCAAATTCCCCCAAATCCATCCCAAATCCCCCCCAGGGTTCCCAAATTCCCCCAAATCCACCCCAAACCCCCCCAGAGTTCCCAAATTCCCCCAGTTCCATCCCAAACCACCCCAGAATTCCCAAATTCCCCCAATTCCACCCCAAATCCCCCCAGAGTTCCCAAATTCCCCCAAATCCATCCAAACCTCCCCAAATCCACCCCAAACCCCCCAGAATTCCCAAATTCCACCCCAACCCCCCCAGATTTCCCAAATCCATCCCAAACCACCCCAGAATTCCCAAATTCCCCCAATTCCATCCCAAATTCCCCCAAATCCACCCCAAACTCCCCCAGAATTCCCAAATTCCCCCAAATTCCCCCAAATTCCATCCCAAACCCCACAGAATTCCCAAATTCCACCCCAACCCCCCCCAGAATTCCCAAATTCCCCCAAATCCACCCCAACCCCCCCAGAATTCCCAAATTCCCCGAAATCCATCCCAAACCCCCCCAGAATTCCCAAATTCCCCCAAATCCACCCCAAACCCCCCAGAATTCCCAAATTCCCCCAATTCCATCCCAAATTCCCCCAAATTCCCCCAAATCCACCCCAACCCCCCCAGAATTCCCAAATTCCACCCCAAACCCCCCCAGAATTCCCAAATCCCCCCCAAATCCCCCCAGAATTCCCAAATTCCCCCAAATCCATCCCAAACCCCCCCAGAATTCCCAAATCCACCCCAAACCCCCCCAGAATTCCCAAATTCCCCCAAATCCACCCCAAACCCCCCAGAATTCCCAAATTCCACCCCAACCCCCCCCAGAATTCCCAAATTCCCCCAAATCCACCCCAAACCCCCCAGAATTCCCAAATTCCCCCAAATCCCCCCAGAATTCCCAAATTCCCGTTTTCCCTCCCAGCGGTTCCAAGTTCCCGGTGTTCAGCATGAGCTACAACCCAGCTGAGAACTCCGTGCTGCTCTGCACCGTGAGTCCCAAAATCCCCGGGGTTTTTGGGGAAAAATCCCCAAATCCACGAGCCTGGGGGAAAACCCCTCCAACCCCCTTTGTTCCTCTGAAAAATCCCTCAAATTCCACTTTTTTGGGGCAGAAAATCCCTCGAATTCCTGGTTTTTGGGCAGAAAATCCTCAAATTTCTGGTTTTTTGGGGGGAGGAAATCCCTCAAATTCCACTTTTTTTGGGGGAGGAAATCCCTCAAATTCCGCTTTTTTGGGGCAGAAAATCCCTCAAATTTCTGTTTTCTCTGGGGGAGGAAATCCCTCAAATTTCTGGTTTTTTGGGGGAGGAAATCCCTCAAATTTCACTTTTTTGGGGCAGGAAATCCCTTGAATTCCACTTTTTTTGGGGACAGAAAATCCTCAAATTTCTGGATTTTTTGGGGCAGAAAATCCCTCAAATTTCTGTTTTTGGGGCAGAAAATCCCTCAAATTTCTGGTTTTTTGGGGGCAGAAAATCCTTCAAATTTCTGGTTTTTGGGGGGGAGGAAATCCCTCAAATTCCTGTTTTTTTGGGGCAGAAAATCCCTCAAATTCTGTTTTTTGGGGGGCAGAAAATCCCTCAAATTCCACTTTTTTGGGGCAGAAAATCCCTCAAATTCCACTTTTTTGGGGCAGAAAATCCCTCAAATTTCTGGTTTTTTGGGGCAGAAAATCCCTCAAATTTCTGGTTTTTTGGGGCAGAAAATCCCTCAAATTTCTGGTTTTTTGGGGCAGAAAATCCTTCAAATTCCACTTTTTTTGGGGGCAGAAAATCCCTCAAATTTCTGGTTTTTTGGGGCAGAAAATCCCTCAAATTCCGCTTTTTTTGGGGCAGAAAATCCCTCAAATTCCTGGTTTTTTGGGGCAGAAAATCCCTCAAATTCCTGGGTTTTTTTGGGGCAGAAAATCCCTTAAATTCCACTTTTTTTGGGGGCAGGAAATCCCTCAAATTTCTGGTTTTTTGGGGGAGGAAATCCCTCAAATTTCTGGTTTTTTGGGGCAGAAAATCCCTCAAATTTCTGGTTTTTTGGGGGGAGGAAATCCCTCAAATTCCTGATTTTTTGGGGGGAGGAAATCCCTCAAATTCCTGATTTTTTGGGGGGGAGGAAGTCCCTCAAATTCCTGATTTTTGAGGCAGAAAATCCCTAAAATTCCACTTTTTTTGGGGCAGAAAATCCCTTGAATTTTTTGGTTTTTTAGGGAGGAAATCCCTCAAATTCCACTTTTTTGGGGGGGAGGAAATCCCTCAAATTCCTGTTTTCTGTGGGGGAGGAAATCCCTCAAATTTCTGGTTTTTTGGGGCAGAAAATCCCTCAAATTCCTGTTTTTTTTGGGGGGAGGAAATCCCTCAAATTCCTGGTTTTTTGGGGCAGAAAATCCCTTGAATTTTTTGGTTTTTTAGGGAGGAAATCCCTCAAATTCCACTTTTTTTGGGGGGGCAGAAAATCCCTCAAATTCCTATTTTCTGTGGGGGAGGAAGTCCCTCAAATTCCACGTTTTTGGGGCAGAAAATCCCTCAAATTCCTGTTTTTAGTGGGCAGGAAATCCCTCAAATTCTACTTTTTTTTGGGGCAGAAAATCCTTCAAATTTCTGTTTTCTCTGGGGGAGGAAATCCCTCAAATTTCTGGTTTTTGGGGCAGAAAATCCCTCAAATTCCACTTTTTTGGGGCAGAAAATCCCTCAAATTCCACTTTTTTTGGGGGGAGGAAATCCCTCAAATTTCTGTTTTTTTGGGGGCAGAAAATCCCTCAAATTCCTGATTTTTGGGGGAAGAAAATCCCTTAAATTCCACTTTTTTGGGGCAGAAAATCCCTCAAATTCCTGGTTTTTTGGGGGCAGAAAATCCCTCAAATTCCACTTTTTTGGGGCAGAAAATCCCTCAAATTTCTGTTTTTAGTGGGGCAGAAAATCCCTCAAATTTCTGTTTTTAGTGGGGCAGAAAATCCCTAAAATTCCACTTTTTTGGGGCAGAAAATCCCTTGAATTTTTTGGTTTTTTAGGGAGGAAATCCCTCAAATTCCACTTTTTTTGAGGGGCAGAAAATCCCTCAATTCCTGTTTTTAGTGGGGCAGAAAATCCCTCAAATTCCACTTTTTTGGGGCAAAAAATCCCTCAAATTCCACTTTTTTGGGGCAGAAAATCCCTCAAATTTCTGTTTTTTTGGGGGGAGGAAATCCCTCAAATTCCTGTTTTTTGGGAAGAAAATCCCTTAAATTCCTGTTTTTTTGGGGGCAGAAAATCCCTCAAATTCCACTTTTTTTGGGGCAGAAAATCCCTCAAATTTCTGGTTTTTTGGGGGCAGGAAATCCCTCAAATTCCTGCTTTTTGAGGCAGAAAATCCCTCAAATTCCACTTTTTTGGGGCAGAAAATCCCTCAAATTTCTGGTTTTTTGGGGCAGAAAATCCCTCAAATTCCTGTTTTTAGTGGGGCAGAAAATCCCTCAAATTCTACTTTTTTTTGGGGCAGAAAATCCTTCAAATTTCTGTTTTCTCTGGGGGAGGAAATCCCTCAAATTTCTGGTTTTTGGGGCAGAAAATCCCTCAAATTCCACTTTTTTGGGGCAGAAAATCCCTCAAATTCCTGGGTTTTTTTTGGGAGAAAATCCCTCAAAATTCACTTTTTGGGGGGAGGAAGTCCCTCAAATTCCACGTTTTTGGGCAGAAAATCCCTCAAATTCTGGTTTTTTGGGGGAGGAAATCCCTCAAATTCCTGGTTTTTTGGGGGGAGGAAATCCCTGAAATTCCACTTTTTTGGGGCAGAAAATCCCTCAAATTCCTGGTTTTTTGGGGCAGAAAATCCCTCAAATTCCTGGTTTTTTGGGGCAGAAAATCCCTCAAATTCCTGGTTTTTTGGGGGGAGGAAATCCCTCAAATTCCACTTTTTTGGGGCAGAAAATCCCTCAAATTCCTGTTTTTTGGGGCAAAAAATCCCTCAAATTCCACTTTTTTGGGCAGAAAATCCCTCAAATTCTACTTTTTTTTGGGGCAGAAAATCCCTCAAATTCCTGTTATTTTTGGGTGGAGGAAATTCCTGAAATTCCACTTTTTTGGGGCAGAAAATCCCTTGAATTTTTTGGTTTTTTAGGGAGGAAATCCCTCAAATTCCTGGTTTTTTTTGGGGAAAAAATCTCAATCCCTCAAATTCCACTTTTTTGGGATGGGGAGAAACCTCTCAAATGCCACATTTTTTAAATTGGGAAAATGCCTTAAATTCCCCTGTTTTCTGAGGTTAAAAGTCTCTTAAATTCCTCTTTTCTGAGAAAAATCCCTTAAATTCCACATTTTTGTGGGGAAAACCCTTAAATTCCACCTTTTTTGGGGGGGGGAAAATCCCTTAAATCCACATTTTTTTGGGGAAAAAATCTCTTAAATTCCATAGGTTTTTTCTGGGGGAAAAATCCCTCAAACCCCTGATTGTTTTGGGGGAAAATGCCTCAAATCCCTGATTTTTTGGGGAGGAAAAATGCCTCAAATCCCTGCATTTTTATGGGGGGAAAAATCCCTCAAATCCCTGATTTTTTTTTTGGGAAAAATGCCTCAAACCCCAGATTTTTTGGGGGAAAAATGCCTCAAACCCCTGAATTTTTTTTTGGGAAAAAATGCCTCAAACCTCTGATTTTTTGGGGGAGAAAAATGCCTCAAATCCCTGATTTTTTTGGAGGAAAAAATGCCTCAAACCCCAGATTTTTTTTTGGGAAAAATGCCTCAAACCCCTGATTTTTTTGGGGGGGAAAAAATCCCTCAAATCCCTGATTTTTTTTTGGGAAAATGCCTCAAACCCCTGAATTTTTTTTTGGGAAAAAATGCCTCAAATCCCTGATTTTTTGGGGAGGAAAAATGCCTTAAATCCCTGATTTTTTTTTTGGGAAAAATGCCTCAAATCCCTGATTTTTTTTTGGGGGGAAAAATCCCTCAAACCCCTGATTTTTTTTTTTGGGAAAAATGCCTCAAACCCCTGATTTTTTGGGGGCAAAAAATGCCTTAAATCCCTGATTTTTTTGGAGGAAAAAATGCCTCAAACCCCAGATTTTTTTTGGGGAAAAATCCCTCAAACCCCTGATTTGGGGGGAAAAAATGCCTCAAACCCCTGATTTTTTTGGAGGAAAAAATGCCTCAAACCCCAGATTTTTTTTTGGGAGAAATCCCTCAAACCCCTGATTTTTTGGGGGGGAAAAATACCTTAAACCTCTGATTTTTTTAGGGAAAAATGCCTCAAACCCCAGATTTTTTTTTTGGGAAAAATGCCTCAAATCCCTGATTTTTTGGGGGGGGAAAATGCCTCAAACCCCTGATTTTTTTGGGAAAAAATCCCTCAAATCCCTGATTTTTTTGGGGGGGAAAAAATGCTTCAAATCCCTGATTTTTTTTTGGGAAAAATGCCTCAAACCTCTGATTTTTTGGGAGAAATCCCTCAAATCCCTGATTTTTTGGGGGGGGAAAATCCCTCAAACCCCTGGTTTTTTTTTGGGGAAAAAAAATCCCTCAAACTCCTGATTTTTTTGGGGGGGAAAAGATGCCTTAAACCCCTGATTTTTTTTTGGGAAAAATCCCTCAAACCCCTGATTTGGGGGGAAAAATGCCTCAAACCCCTGATTTTTTTTTGGGAAAAATCCCTCAAACCCCTGATTTTTTTTGGGAAAATTGCCTCAAACCCTGGATTTTCTGGGGGGAAAAAATACCTTAAACCTCTGATTTTTTTGGGGGAAAAATGCCTCAAACCCCTGATTTTTTGGGGAAAAATGCCTCAAATCCCTGATTTTTTTGGGGGGGAAAAATCCCTCAAACCCCAGATTTTTTTTTTTGGAAAAATGGCTCAAATCCCTGATTTTTTGGGGAGGAAAATGCCTCAAACCCCTGATTTTTTTGGGGAAAAATGCCTTAAATCCCTGATTTTTTTGGGGAAAAATGCTTCAAATCCCTGATTTTGGGGAAAAAATGCCTCAAACCCCTGATTTTTTTGGGGAGGAATAATGCCTCAAACCCCAGATTTTTTTGGGGGGAAAATGCCTCAAACCCCTGATTTTTTTGGAGGAAAAAATCCCTCAAATCCCTGATTTTTTTTTTTGGGAAAAAATGCCTTAAATCCCTGATTTTTTTGGGGGAAAAAATGCCTCAAATCCCTGATTTTTTTGGGGAGCAAAAATGCCTCAAATCCCTGATTTTTTTTTGGGAAAAATGCCTCAAATCCCTGATTTTTTTGGGGGAAAAATGCCTCAAACCCCTGATTTTTTTTTTGGGAAAAATGCCTCAAACCCCAGATTTTTTTGGGGAAAAATACCTTAAACCCCTGATTTTTTGGGGGGAAAAAATGCCTCAAACCCCTGATTTTTTTGGGCAAAAACCCCTAAAATGCCCCATTTTTCCCTCCCACAGCGAGCCAGCAACCTGGAGAACAGCACCTACGACCTGTACACCATTCCCAAGGATGCAGATTCCCAAAATCCCGACGGTGGGTGTGGCCTGAGCTCCCAAAAACCCCCGGAATTCCCATCCCCCACCCCCCCTTTTCTCCCCAAAATTCTCCTTTTTTACCCCAAATTTTTGGTGGTTTTTTGGGCAGCTTTCCCCCCCTTTTTCCTTTGAAAAATCCAAACTTTTCCAGCCCCCCATCCATATTTTAGCAGGAATTTCTCCTTTCCCTTCCCAAATTTTTCCTCCCAGCTGGAGATTTCCTGGCTCTGTCCAAACCTGATGGATCTCAGGCCGATTTTTGGGATATTTCACCCACAAAAAAACCCACAAAAAAAACCCTTTAAAAGTGACAATCCCAGGAATTATTTTGGTTTTTCCCTTTCCTGGCAAATTCCATGTGATTTTTTTTTTCCAGTTTTTACGGGAAAGGGAATTTACGATCCCAAGCCTTGATTTAATGGGATGAAAACTCCCAAATTATTGGATTTTTGTCCCAGTTTTAAATCCCAGCTGCTCCCCCCCCCTGCCAGGGAGCTGTGATGGATTTGGGGCCTTTTCCAGGGATTTATGGATTCCGGAGGGTTTGGAGCAGGGAATGTTTCCCTGCTGGGGTGGATTTGGAGGCAAAGAACGGGGACAAAAAAACACAAAAAAATAAAATTGATTTTTTTTGGGAAGTTTTTCCAGCTGGGATATTGGGAAGATCAATCAAATCCCTGGGTTTGATGGAGGAGCAGCTGGGTCCCAAAAAAAAAAAGAGGGAAAAGGGAAAATTCCGCAGCCGGAGGAGGGGAGAAGGGCCCGGCCTCTTTTTTGGGGACAAAACCCTCAAATCCTGGAGGTTTTGGGAAAAATCCTTTAAATCCCTGAGCTTTTTGGGGAAAAATCCCTCAAATTCCACTTTATTTTTTTATTTTTTTTAAGATTCATCAAATCCCACAGTTTTGGGACAAATCCCTCGAATTCCACATTTTTGAGGGGGAAAATCCCTCAAATTCCACTTTATTTATTTATTTATTTTTTTAATTCCTCAAATCCCACAGTTTTGGGAAAGATTCCTCAAATCCTGCAGTTTTGGGACAAATCCCTCAAATTCCACATTTTTTGAGGGGGAAAATCCCTCAAATTCCACTTTATTTTTTTATTTTTTTAAATTCATCAAATCCCACAGTTTTGGGACAAATCCCTCAAACTCCACATTTTTGAGGGGGAAAATCCCTGAAATTCCACTTTATTTTATTTTTTTTTTAATTCATCAAATCCCACAGTTTTGGGAAAAATCCTTTAAATCCCTGGCTTTTTGGGGAAAATCCCTCAAACTCCACATTTTTGAGGGGAAAATCCCTCAAATTCCACTTTATTTATTTTTTTTTTTTAAATTCATCAAATCCCACAGTTTTGGGAAAGATTCCTCAAATCCCACAGTTTTGGGACAAATCCCTCAAACTCCACATTTTTGAGGGGGAAAATCCCTCAAATTCCACTTTATTTATTTATTTATTTTTTTAATTCATCAAATCCCACAGTTTTGGGAAAAATCCTTTAAATCCCTGAGCTTTTTGGGGAAAAATCCCTCAAATTCCACATTTTTGAGGGGAAAAATCCCTCAAATTCCACTTTATTTTTTTTTTTTAATTCATCAAATCCCACAGTTTTGGGACAAATCCTTTAAATCCCTGAGCTTTTCGGGGAAAAATCCCTCAAACTCCACAGTTTTTGAGGGGGGAAAATCCCTCAAATTCCACTTTATTTATTTTTTTTTTTAATTCATCAAATCCCACAGTTTTGGGAAAGATTCCTCAAATTCCACAGTTTTGGGACAAATCCCTCAAATTCCACATTTTTTGGGAGGAAAACCCCTCGAGCTCCACATTTTGGGGATTTTCAGGGATTTTTCAGGGCCTTTTCTGGCTGAAAATCCGGGATTTTTATGGAATATCTGAGGCTGGAGCAGCCTGGGACGGGGGCATTGCCCCGTGGGATGGGAGGGGGTTTTGGGTCCCTTCTGATCCCAAAAATTCCGGGATTCTGGGATGTGGATCCGGGAGAATCCGGATCCCATCCCAGCTTCTGAACCCCATCCCACAAATCCCACTGATCCCATAAATCCCATTGGTCTCATCCCAGTCCCACAAATCCCACTGATCCCATAAATCCCATTGGTCTCATCCCAGTCCCACAAATCCCACTGATCCCATAAATCCCATTGATTCCTTATTGCCATCCCAACCCCATCCTGTCCTATCCCGTAAATCCCACAAATCCCATCCTGTAAATCCCATTTTATAAATCTCATCCCATCATTCCCATCAATCCCATCCCAATCCCGTTCTTTAAATCCCATCCCATAAATCTCATTCCAGTCCCATCCCATAAATCCCAATCCCATCCTGTAATTCCTATCCCATCCCATCAATCCATCCCATAAATCCCATCCTGTGGATCCTATTTTATAAATCTCGTCCCACCCTATAGATCCCATTGATCCCATCCCAATCCTGTCACATCAATCCCATCCCATAAACCCCATCCTAATGGATTGATCCCGGGTTTATCCTGGGTTTATCCGGGGTTTATCCTGGGTTTATCTGGGGTTGATCCTGGGTTTATCTGGGGTTGATCCTGGGTTGATCCCGGCCGGATTCCCAGGGTTTATCCTGGGTTTATCCAGGCTTTATCCTGGGTTGATCCGGCCGGATTCCTGGGGTTTATCCGGGGTTTATCTGGGGTTAATCCTGGGTTGATCCCAGCCAGATTCTGGGGTTTATCCTGGGTTTATCCTGGGTTTATCCAGGCTTTATCCTGGGTTGATCCCGGCCGGATTCCTGGGGTTTATCCGGGGTTTATCTGGGGTTAATCCTGGGTTGATCCCAGCCAGATTCTGGGGTTTATCCTGGGTTTATCCAGGCTTTATCCTGGGTTGATCCCAGCCGGATTCCTGGGGTTTATCCAGGGTTTATCCGGGGTTTATCCAGGCTTTATCCTGGGTTGATCCCGGCTGGATTCCGGGGGTTTATCCTGGGTTTATCCTGGGTTTATCCTGGTTTGATCCCAGCCAGATTCCCAGGGTTTATCCTGGGTTTATCCCAGGTTTATCCTGGGTTTATCTGGGGTTGATCCCGGCCGGATTCCCGGGGTTTATCCGGGGTTTATCCGGGGTTAATCCCGGGTTGATTCCGGCTGGATTCCCAGTTTGATCCCGGGTTTATCCGGGGTTAATCCCGGGTTGATCCTGGCCGGATTCCCAGTTTGATCCCGGTTTTTTTTGGGATCGCAGCTCCGGAGGGGAAGCGCTCCTCGGGGCTCACGGGCCGTGTGGGTGGCGCGGAACCGATTCGCCGTCCTGGACAGGATGCACTCGGTGAGATCCCAGGAAAAAACGGGGAAAAAACGGGAAAAAAAACGGGGGAAAAATGGGAAATCGGGATGATGGGATCAGATCCAGGGGGGCCTGATCCCAAAAAAAGGGGCTGGGATTGGGATAACAGGGATTGGGATAACAGGGATTGGGATAACAGGGATTGAATCCAGAGGGGCCTGATCCCAATGGGAGAAGGGTTGGGAAATGAGGATAATGGGGATTGAATCCAGAGGGGCCTGATCCCAAATAAAAATGGTTGGAAAAGCAGGAGGTTGGGATAATGGGGATCAGATCCAAGGGGACCTGATCCCAAAAACCCTGGGATTGGGATAACAGGGATTGGATCCAGGGGAACCTGATCCCAAAAAGAAAAAGGGTTGGGATTGGGATAATGGGGATCAGATCCAAGGGGACCTGATCCCAAAAAAACCTGGGATTGGGATAACAGGGATTGGATCCAGGGGAACCTGATCCCAAAAAGAAAAAGGGTTGGGAAAAGCGGGAATGGGGCTGGAGCAGCTGGAGAAGGGAATGGAGGATCCTGAGGGAGCTGATCCCAGGGAAAAGGGGGATCCAGGGGGGATTTGGGATCTGATCCCAGGGAATGGGGCAGGACAAGAGGGAACGCCTCGGGCTGTGCCAGGGCTGGGAATTTGGGATGGTTTTCCCATGGAAAAAAGGGTTGGGAAGTGTCAGAAGGGGCTCAGGGGGGGGTTGGATCCCCATCCCTGGAGGTGTCCGAGGGATTCCCGGGATTTGGGTTGGGTTTGATGCTTTTCCAACCTCCAAAACCCCGGGAATTCCGGGAAAACCCTGATTCCCAACCCAGCTCTTGAGCTCCCTCAAAAACAGCGGGAAAAATCCTGGAAAAACCCAACTCTGCTCCAGCCCGAGGGGCACAAAACCCTCCCTGCCTTCCCTAAAAAACCCCCAAAAATCTGGGAATTCCCCCCAAAATCTGGGAATTCCCTCCAAAATCTGGGAATTCCCCCCAAAATCCGGGAATTCCCCCAAAATCTGGGGAATTCTCTTTCCCGGGGGGCAGATCCTGATCAAGAACCTGAAGAACGAGATCACCAAGAAGGTTCCGGTTCCCAACTGTGACGAGATTTTCTACGCGGGCACCGGGAACCTGCTCCTGAGGGACTCCGACTCCATCACCCTCTTCGACGTCCAGCAGAAAAGGTGGGGATTTTCCCGGAATTTTCCCGGAATTTTCCAGGAATTTTCCGGGAATTCTGCACCTAAAACCTGCTTTTTGTTCGCCGAATCCTGGTTTTTTCACCGTAAATCCTCCTCTTTTTTCACCCCAAGTCCTGGGTTTTTTTTCCCCTAATTCCCCTTTTTTTCCCCTCTAAATCCTGGGGTTTTTTCCTTCCTAAATCCCTTTTTTTTTCCCCCCCCTAAATCCCACTTTTCCCACCTCAAATCCTGCTTGTTCCTGTGGAAAGCTGGGAAAGGCTGGAGAAGGGATCTGCTGGGGTTATTTTTTTGGGATCTGCTGGGAGTTTTTGGGATCTGGATTTTTTTTGGGGATCTGGGGTTTTTTTTGGGGGATCTGCTGGGAGTTTTTGGGATCTGGATTTTTTTTTGGGATCTGGATTTTTTTTTGGGATCTGGGGTTTTTTTGGGGATCTGCTGGGGGGTTTTTGGGATCTGGGGTTTTTTGGATCTGCTGGGGGTTTTTGGGATCTGTGTTTTTTTGGGGGGATCTGTTTTTTTTTTGGGATCTGCTGGGGGTTTTTTGGGATCCCAGGGCTGGATTTTGGGCCATTCCCTGATCCGGGATCTGGGATTTTTCCAGGACCTTGGCCTCGGTGAAGATCTCCAAGGTGAAGTACGTGATCTGGTCGGCCGACATGTCCCACGTGGCGCTGCTGGCCAAGCACGGTGAGCTCCGGGGGAAAATTCCCATTATTCCCATTATTCCCATTATCCCCATTATTCCCATTATTCCCATTATTCCCATTATCCCCATCTCCTGATCCCTGTTCTCATTCCATTCCTGTAATTCTCATTCTCGTTCCCATTATTCCCATCCCCATTCCCTTAATTCCCACAATCCCTGTTATTCCCATCCCCATTCCCATCCCCATCTCGATCCCCGTTCTCAATCCCATTCCTGTAATTCCCATTACTCCTGTTACCCCAAGTTATTCCTGTAATTCCCTCATTCCCGTTGTTCCTGTCATTGCCATCATTCCTGTAATTCCCTCATTCCCGGGTTCCTGTCATACCCTGCAATTCCCATCCTGTAATTCCAATTCCCTCATTCCCTGCAGTTCCCATCATTCCCATTAATTCCCTCATTCCCTGCAATTCCATCATTCCCTGAATTCCCGGGTTCCCTCTGTTCCCATAACTCCATCATTCCCGGGTTCCTGTCATACCCTGCAATTCCCATCCTGTAATTCCAATTCCCTCATTCCCTGCAGTTCCCATCATTCCTGTAATTCCCTCATTCCCATTGTTCCTGTCATTGCCATCATTCCCATCATTCCCTGCAATTCCCATCATTCCTGTAATTCCCTCATTCCCCTCATTCCCTGCAATTCCCATAATTCCCGGGTTCCCTCTGTTCCCATAATTCCCTCATTCCCTATAATTCCCGTAATTCCCTGCAATTCCCATCATTCCCATAATTCCCTCATTCCCTGCAATTCCCATCATTCCCGTAATTCCCGGGTTCCCTCTGTTCCCATAACTCCATCATCTCTGGGTTCCCGTCATACCCTGCAATTCCCATCCTGTAATTCCAATTCCCGTCATTCCCTGCAATTCCCATCATTCCTGTAATTCCCTCATTCCCATTGTTCCTGTCATTGCCATCATTCCTGTAATTCCCTCATTCCCGGATTCCTGTCATACCCTGCAATTCCCATCATTCCTGTAATTCCAATTCCCTCATTCCCTGCAATTCCCATCATTCCTGTAATTCCCTCATTCCCCTCATTCCCTGCAATTCCCATAATTCCTGGGTTCCCTCTGTTCCCATAATTCCCTCATTCCCTGCAATTCCCATCATTCCCGTAATTCCCCTCATTCCCTGCAATTCCCATCATTCTCATAATTCCTGGGTTCCCTCTGTTCCCATAATTCCCTCATTCCCTGTAATTCCCATAATCCCCTCATTCCCTGCAATTCCCTCATTCCTGTAATTCCTGGGTTCCTTCTGTTCCCATAACTCCATCATTCCCGTTATTCCCTGCAATCCTTGCAATTCCCTCAATCCCTCCGTTCCCACCGTTCCTGTAATTCCCTCATTCCCTGTAATTCCCATCATTCCCGTAATTCCCTGCAATTCCCACCATTCCCATAATTCCCTCATTCCCTGCAATTCCCGGGTTCCCTCTGTTCCCATAACTCCATCATTCCCGTTGTTCCCTGCAATCCTTGCAATTCCCTCAATCCCTGGTTCCCTCATTCCCACCATTCCGTAATTCCCTCATTCCCACTGTTCCCGTAATTCCCTGCAATTCCCATCATTCCCATAATTCCCTCATTCCCTGCAATTCCCGGGTTCCCTCTGTTCCCATAATTCCATCATTCCCGGGTTCCCGTCATACCCTGCAATTCCCATCCTGTAATTCCAATTCCCTCATTCCCTGCAATTCCCTCTGTTCCCATAATTCCCTCATTCTCTGCAATTCCCATCATTCCTGCAATTCCCGTCATTCCCATCATTCCCTCATTCCCTGCAATTCCCCTCATTCCCTGGAATTCCCGGGTTCCCTCTGTTCCCATAACTCCATCATTCCGTTGTTCCCTGCAATCCTTGCAATTCCCTCAATCCCTGGGTTCCCTCATTCCCTGTAATTCCCTCGTTCCCGTAATTCCCTCGTTCCCGTTATCCCGGTCGTTCCCCGCAATTCCCGGTTTCCCTCCGTTCCCAGCCATCCTGATCTGTAACCGGAAGCTGGAGTCGCTGTGCCAGATCCACGAGAACATCCGGGTCAAGAGCGGCGCCTGGGGACGAGAGCGGCGTCTTCATCTACACCACCAGCAACCACATCAAATACGCCGTCACCTCGGGGTCAGCCCTGCTCCGGGAGCGGGAAGGGCGGGAATTCCCGCCGGGAATGGCGGGGAACCGTCAGCGGGATGGGCGGGAATCGTCACTGGGATGGCTGGGAATTGTCACTGGGAATGGCTGGGAATTGTCACCGGGGGATGGGCGGGAATTGTCACTGGGAATGGTGGGAATTGTCACTGGGAATGGCGGGAATTGTCACTGGGAATGGCTGGGAATCGTCACTGGGAATGGCGGGAATTGTCACTGGGAATGGCGGGAATTGTCACTGGGATGGTGACAGGAATGTCACCGGGATGGGTGGGAATTGTCACTGGGAATGGCTGGGAATTGTCACTGGGAATGGTGGGAATTGTCACTGGGATGGTGACAGGAATTGTCACTGGGATGGGCGGGAATTGTCACCGGGATGGTGACAGGAATTGTCACTGGGATGGGCAGGAATTGTCACCGGGGATGGGCAGGAGTTCCTTGGATGGTCAGGAGCTCACTGGGATGGGTGGGAATTGTCACTGGGAATGGAGGGAATCATCACCGGGATGGTGATGGGAATTGTCACTGGGATGGGCGGGAATTGTCACTGGGATGGGCGGGAATTGTCACTGGGATGGGCGGGGAATTGTCACTGGGATGGTGACAGGAATTGTCACTGGGATGGGTGGGAATTGTCACCGGGATGGGTGGGAATTGTCACTGGGATGGGTGGGAATTGTCACCGGGATGGCTGGGAATTGTCACCGGGATGGTGACAGGAATTGTCACTGGGATGGGCGGGAATTGTCACTGGGAATGGCGGGAATTGTCACTGGGATGGGCGGGAATTGTCACCGGGATGGGCGGGAATTGTCACTGGGAATGGTGGGAATTGTCACTGGGATGGGTGGGAATTGTCACCGGGATGGGCGGGAATTGTCACTGGGAATGGAGGGAATTGTCACTGGGAATGGAGGGAATTGTCACCGGGATGGTGACAGGAATTGTCACCGGGATGGGTGGGAATTGTCACCGGGATGGGTGGGGAATCGTCACTGGGATGGTGACAGGAATTGTCACTGGGATGGCTGGGAATTGTCACTGGGATGGTGACAGGAATTGTCACCGGGATGGGCGGGAATTGTCACTGGGAATGGCGGGAATTGTCACTGGGATGGGCGGGAATTGTCACTGGGATGGATGGGAGTTCCTTGGATGGTCAGGAGCTCACTGGGATGGGTGGGAATTGTCACTGGGATGGTGACAGGAATTCCCACCGGGATGGGCGGGAATTCCCACTGGGATGGGCGGGGAATTGTCACCGGGATGGGCGGGAATTGCTTGGATGGTCAGGAGCTCACTGGGATGGTCAGGAACTGTCACTAGGATGGCTGGGAATTCTCACTGGGATGGCTGGGAATTCTCACTGGGATGGGGACAGGAATTGTCACTGGGATGGCCGAGAGTTTCCTGGGATGGTCAGGAATTCTCCCTGGGATGGCCAGGAATTCTCACCGGGATGGGTGGGAATTCCCTGGGATGGTCAGGAACTGTAACTGGGATGGCTGGGAATTCTCATTGGGATGGTGACAGGAATTCTCACTGGGATGGCCAGGAGTTCCTTGGGATGGTTGGGAGTTCCTTGGGATGGTTGGGAGTTCCTTGGGATGGCCGACAGTTCCCTGGCATGGTCAGGAATTTTCACCAGGATGGCCGGGAATTCTCTGGGATGGTCAGGAACTGTCACTGGGATGGCTGGGAATTGTTACTGGGATGGCCAGGAATTCTCCCTGGGATGGCCAAGAGTTCTCTGGCATGTCAGGAATTCTCCCTGGGATGGCCAGGAATTCCCCAGGATGGTGTGGAGTTCTCTGTGAGCTCACCAGGAATTCCCCGGGATGTCCGGGAATTTTCTCTCCCCGGGAATTCTCACCGGGAACGTCCCCCCATAATTCCATGGCATGTCTGGGAATTCTCCCCGGGAATTCTCACCGGGAATGTCGCCCCCTCCCCGGCGCAGGGACCACGGGATCATCCGCACGCTGGACCTGCCCATCTACGTGACGCGCGGTGAAGGGCAACAACGTTTACTGCCTGGACCGGGAGTGCCGGCCCCGCGTGCTCACCATCGACCCCACCGAGTTCCGCTTCAAGCTCGCCCTCATCAACAGGAAATACGACGAGGTCAGGGATGGACCTGGGAATGGGGGAAAATCTGGGAAAAAAGCGGGGGTTGGGAATGAGGGAAAAGCGGGGTTGGGAATGGTGGACAAAGGCGGGTGAGCCCCGCGTGCTCACCATCGACCCCACCGAGTTCCGCTTCAAAGTCCGCCCTCATCAACAGGAAATATGATAGGGTCAGGAATAAACCTGGGAATGGGGAAAAGTGGGAAAAAATGGGATTGGGAATTGGGGAAAAATGGGGGGAATGGGATTGGGAACGAGGGAAAAGTGGGGTTGGGAATGGCGGGTGAAAATCGGGAGTGCTCAGCATCGACCCCATCGAGTTCCGCCTCAAACTCGCCCTCATCAACAGGGAAGCTTGATGAGGTCAGGAATAAATCTGGGATTGGGAAAAGTGTAGGATTTCCTGAGGATTCTGGATTTGGGAGTAGGGGCTGCAGCCTTTGGGAATAGGGGCTGGCAAAGCCTTTCCTGAAGATGGGAAAAGCCTTTCCTGAGGGTGCTTGGAAGGGCCTCTCCCAAGGAGAGGAAAAGCCTTTCCCAGGGATGGAAGATTCTTTCCCAAGGCTTTTGGGAAGAGCCTTTCCCAAGGGATTTTTAGGAAGAGCTTTTCCCAGGAATTTTGGGAAGGGCTTTTCCCCAGGATTTTGGGAAGAGCCTTTCCCAGGGATGGAATGTCCCTTTCCCAAGAGATTTTTGGGAAGAGCCTTTCCCCAGGATTTTTAGGAAGAGCTTTTCCCCAGGATTTTCAGGAAGAACCTTTCCTAAGGATTTTTAGGAAGAGCCTTTCCCAAGGGATTTTGGGAATATCCTTTCCCGAGGGGTTTTGGGAAGAGCCTTTCCCGAGGGATTTTGGGAAGAGCCTTTCCCAAGGGATTTTGGGAAGAGCCTTCCCCAGGATTTTTAGGAAGAGCCTTTCCCAAGGGATTTTGGGAATATCCTTTCCCCAGGGATTTTGGGAATATTCTTTCCCGAGGGCTTTTGGGAAGAGCCTTTCCTAAGGGATTTTGGGAAGTTCGTTTTCCAAAGGATTTTTGGAAGAGCCTTTCCCCAGGGATTTTCAGGAAGTTCCCTTTCCCCAGGGATTTTGGGAAGTTCCTTTCCCCAAGGGCTTTTGGGAAGAGCCTTTCCCAAGGGATTTTGGGAAGAGCCTTTCCCGAGGGATTTTGTGAAGAGCCTTTCCCCAGGATTTTCAGGAAGAGCTTTTCCCAGGGATTTTGGGGAAGTTCCTTTCCTGAGGGATTTTGGGAATATCCTTTCCCGAGGGATTTTGGGAATATCCTTTCCCAAGGGATTTTGGGAAGTTCCTTTCCTGAGGGATTTTGGGAAGAGCCTTTCCTAAGGGATTTTGGGAAGTTCGTTTTCCAAAGGATTTTTGGAAGAGCCTTTCCCCAGGGATTTTGGGAAGTTCCTTTCCCCAGGGATTTTGGGAAGAGCCTTTCCCAGGAATGGAATATCCTTTCCCCAGGGATTTTGGGAATATTCTTTCCCGAGGGGTTTTGGAAGAGCCTTTCCCCAGGATTTTGGGAAGTTCCTTTCCTGAGGGATTTTGGGAAGAGCCTTTCCTAAGGGATTTTTGGGAAGAGCCTTTCCCGAGGGGTTTTGGAAAGAGCCTTTGCCCAGGATTTTAGGAAGAGCTTTTCCCAAGGGATTTTGGGAAGAGCCTTTCCCCAGGGATTTTGGGAAGAGCCTTTCCCCAGGATTTTTAGGAAGAGCCTTTCCCCAGGAATGGAATATCCTTTCCCAAGGCTTTTGGGAAGTTCCTTTCCCAGGATTTTTGGGAAGAGCCCTTCCCAGGATCTGGGCCTGCCCGCAGGTGCTGCACATGGTGCGGAACGCCAAGCTGGTGGGGCAGTCGATCATCGCCTACCTGCAGCGCAAGGGCTACCCCGAGGTGGCCCTGCACTTCGTCAAGGACGAGAAAACGCGCTTCAGCCTGGCCCTGGAGTGCGGCAACATCGAGGTGACGCCGGCTCCGGGGACATTCCGGGGCTTTCTGGGACATTCCGGGGCTTTCTGGGACATTCCGGGGCTTTTGGGACATTCCGGGGATGTTTTGGGATAAACGCGCCTCAGCCTGGCCCTGGAGCGCGGCAGCACGGAGGTGACGCCGGCTTTTGGGATGTTCCAGGGCATTTTGGGACGCTGTGGGAAGTTGGGGGCGTTCTCAGCCGTTTTGAGGTGTTTTGGGACATTCTGGGAAGTTTGGTTTTGGGTATTTTGGGACATTTTTGGGACATTCCCTGTCCCAGATCGCCCTGGAGGCAGCCAAGGCTCTGGACAACGAGGGCTGCTGGGAGAAGCTGGGCCAGGTGGCCCTGCCGCCATCCCTGCTCCCATTCCCAATCCCATTCCCAGTCCCTCTGACCCCATTCCCCAGTTCTAACCCCATTCCCAATCCCTCTAACCCCACTCCCAGTCCCTCTAATCCCGGAATTCCCTGGCACAGATCACCCTGGAGGCAGCAGCCAAGGCCCTGGATGACAAGGGCTGCCAGGGGAGGTGGCCCTGCTGCTATCCCTGCTCCCATTCCCCATTCCCAGTCCCATTCCCAGTCCCTCTGACCCCATTCCCAGTCCCTCTGACCCCATTCCCAATTGCTCTGACCCCACTCCCGATCCCTCTAACCCTGGAATTCCCTGTCACAGATCTACCTGGAGGCATCCAAGGCCCTGGATGACAAGGGCTGCCGGGGGAGGTGGCCCTGCTGCTATCCCTGCTCCCATTCCCAATCCCATTTCCAATCCCTCTGACCCCATTCCCAATCCCTCTGACCCCATTCCCAATCCCATTCCCAGTCCCTCTGACCCCATTCCCGATCCCTCTGACCCCATTCCTGATCCTTTAATCCCAAAATTCCCTGGCACCAATTGCCCTGGAGGCAGCCAAGGCGCTGGATGACAAGGGCTGGGCGAGGTGGCCCTGCTGCTATCCCCGCTCCCGTTCCCCATTCCCAATCCCATTCCCGATCCCTCTGACCCCATTCCCAATCCCTGCTCCCATTCCCAATCCCTCTGACCCCATTCCCAATCACTCTGACCCCATTCCCGATCCCTCTAATCCCAAAATTCCCTGGCACGGATCGCCCTGGAGGCAGCCAAGGCCCTGGATGACAAGGGCTGGGCAAGGTGGCTGTGCTGCAATTGCTGCTCCCATTCCCCATTCCCAATCCCATTCCCAATCCCTCTGACCCCATTCCCAATCCCTCTGACCACCCATTCCCAATCCCATTCCAATCCCTCTGACCCCATTCCCAATCCCTCTAATCCCGGAATTCCCTGTCCCAGATCGCCCTGGAGGCAGCCAAGGCCCTGGACGACAAGGGGCTGGGCGAGGTGGCCCTGCCTGCTATCCCTGCTTCCATTCCCCATTCCCAATCCCATTCCCAATCCCTCTGACCCCATTCCCGATCCCTCTAATCCCAAAATTCCCTGTCCCAGATTGCCCTGGAGGCAGCCAAGGCTCTGGATGACAAGGGCTGCTGGGAGAAGCTGGGCGAGGTGGCCCTGCTGCAGGGCAACCACCAGGTGGTGGAGATGTGCTACCAGCGCACCAAGAACTTCGACCGCCTCTCCTTCCTCTACCTCATCACCGGCAACCTGGAGAAGCTCCGCAAGATGATGAAGATCGGTGAGAGCCCCGGCATTCCGCCGGGAATCCCGCCCGATTCCCGCTTTTCCTGGGTTGGGAACGGCAGCTGATTCCTGGTTTTATTGGGGACCAGGAACGGCGGCTGATTCCTGGTTTTCCTGGGGCCAACAACGGGGGCTGATTCCCAGTTTCCCTGGGTTGGGAACAGCAGCTGATTCCCAGTTTTCCTGGGTTGGGAATGGCGGCTGATTCCCGGTTTTCCTGGGGCTGAAAGAGCAGCTGATTCCCGGTTTTATTGGGTTGGGAATGGCAGCTGATTCCCGGTTTTCCTGGGTTGGAATGGTGGCTGATTCCTGGTTTTATTGGGACCAGGAATCCTGGCTGATTCCTGGTTTTCCTGGGGCCAACAATGGTGGCTGATTCCCGGTTTTCCTGGGTTGGGAATAGCAGCTGATTCCCGGTTTTCCTGGGTTGGGAACAGTGGCCAATTCCCGGTTTTCCTGGGTTGGGAATGGCAGCTGATTCCTGGTTTTATTGGGACCAGAAACGGCGGCTGATTCCCAGTTTTCCTGGGGCTGGAAGAGCAGCTGATTCCTGATTTATTGGGTTGGAACAGCAGCCGATTCCTGGTTTTATTGGGACCAGGAACGGCGGCTGATTCCCAGTTTTCCAGGGCTAGGAATGGCAGCTGATTCCCGGTTTTTATTGGGTTGGAATGGCGGCTGATTCCTGGTTTTCCCAGGGCTGGGAATGGCAGCTGACTCCCAGTTTTATTGGGGCCGGGAATCCTGGCTGATTCCTGGTTTTCCTGGGGCCAACAATGGCGGCTGATTCCCAGTTTTCCTGGGGCTGGAAGAGCAGCTGATTCCCGGTTTTCCTGGGTTGGGAATGGCAGCTGATTCCCGCTTTTCCTGGGTTGGGAATGGCAGCTGATTCCTGTTTTTCCCGCTGATTCCCGTTTTTCCCAGTCTTGGGAACGGCGGCTGATTCCCGTTTTTCCCGGTCTCGGGAACGGCGGCTGATTCCCGTTTTTCCCGTTTTTCCAGCGGAGATCCGGAAGGACATGAGCGGGCACTACCAGAACGCGCTGTACCTGGGGGACGTGGCCGAGAGGGTGCGGATCCTGCGGAACTGCGGCCAGAGTGAGTCGTTCCCCGATGGAATCCCGGGAATTCCGGGCACGGGGAGTCCTTCCCAACGGGAATTCCGGGGGCTTCCGGGCATGGGGAGTCCTTCCTGACAGGAATTCTGGGCAGAGGAAGTCATTCCCGCCAGGAATGCTGCCCTGGAAGCTCAGGAAAGGCTCTTGGATCCCCAAGCATTTCTGTTATTCCAGTGGTTATTCCCATTATTCCAATGGCTATTCCCACTATTTCCATTATTCCAATGGCCATTCTCAGTGTTTCCCATTATTCCAACGGCCATTCCCAGTGTTTCCCGTTATTCCTGTGGCCATTCCCATTATTTCCCGTGGTCATTCCCGTTATTTTTCCAGAGTCCCTGGCGTTCCTGACGGCCGCCACGCACGGGCTGGACGAGGAGGCCGAGAGCCTGCGGGAATCCTTCGATCCGAGAAGGAGACGGTGGGAACGCCGGGAAAAACTCCGGGAAAAACTCGGGAGTTTGGGAGGGAGGGGATGGGGATGGGCATGGAGAAATCCTGGGAAACTCTGGAATTGGGGAAGGAGGGAAGGGGTGGTGGCTCCTGGAAAACTCCTGGAATTTGAGAGGGGAACAGTGGGGTCCGGTGAGGAAAACACGTGGAATTTGGGAAGGAGGGAATGGTGGGGATGGAGGAAATCCTGGAAAACTCCTGGAATTCAGGAAGGAGGGGATGGGGGGGGTCCTGGAAAACTCCAGGAATTTGGGAAAGGAACAGTGGGATCCAGAGGGGATGGACTCCTGGAATTCAGGAAGGAGGGGATGGGGGCTCCTGGAAAAACTCCAGGAATTTGGGAAGGAGTGGATAGGGGGCTCCTGGAAAAACTCCAGGAATTCAGAAAAGGAACTGTGGGTTCCAGTGGGGAGAACTCCTGGAAAACTCCTGGAATTCAGGAATGGTGGGATGGGGGAAATCCTGGAAAACTCCAGGAATTTAGAAAGGGAACTGTGGGTTCCAGTGGGGAGAACTCCTGGAAAAGTCCAGGGATGTGGGAAGGAGCTGTTAATGGCGAGGCAGCTCCTTCCCGGGGTTTTCCCGGCGCATCCCGACGTTTTCCCGGCGTGTCCCAGATCCCGGCCGTGGATCCCGAGGCGCGGCTGCTGCAGCCGCCGGCCCCGGTGCTGCCCCTGGACACCAACTGGCCCATGCTGACCGTGTCCAAGGGCTTCTTCGAGGGCTCCATCGCCGGGAAAGGTCGGCATTCCCCGCATTCCCGGCATTCCCGGGGTTTGGGATGGGCGCTGGGAGGTTGCTGTGGTCCAGGCAAACCCATGGAATGTTCTGGGAATTGGGAGAAAGGGGCTGGAAAAAACTGGGGAAGGGTGTGGGGTGTGAGGCCATGGGGGCGGGAGGGACTGGGATTTGGATCGGGGCTGGGATTGAGCCCTGGGAATGGGATCAGGGCTGGGATTGAGCCCTGGGAGTGGGATTGATCCCTGGGATTTGGGATCAGGGCTGGGATTGAGCCCTGGAATGGGATCAGGGCTGGGATTGACCCCTGGGATTTGGGATTGATGCCTGGGAATGGGATCAGGGCTGGATTGGAATTCCTGGAATTCAGAGTGGGCATCCAGCCGGGGATGAGCCCCATGATCCTGGAGCTCTCCCCACCCTCATAAATCCCGAAATTCCGCAAAATCCCACCCCGAGATGCCACAGCGCAGAGGCGGGGTGGGGTTTTCCCCTCATGGAATTATTTTCCAAGGGTCTTTCCCTGTGTTTTTTTTCAGGGAAGGAGGAGCCCTGGCTGCCGACATCGACATTGACACCGTGGGCACCGAGGGCTGGGGCGAGGACGCCGAGCTGCAGCTGGATGAAGGTGGGAAAACCCTGGAATTTCCCTTGGGAAAGCTCCGTCCCCCCGCCCGTGGGACCCCTGTGACATTCCCTGCTCCCGCAGACGGATTCGTGGATGCCGGGGAAGGATTCGGAGAGGAAGGAACGGAAAAGGGCAGGAGGAAGGAGGAGGATGGGAGGTGGAAGAAGATTTGGATCTTCCCCCGAGCTGGTAGGGAGAATCCTGGGGAGTCCCAGTGCTGATTCCTCAGGAATTTGGGAAGCAGGGAATGTTCTGTGGGATCATCCAGCTGGGGTTTCAGCTGGAATTCCGGGATTTTCCCTCAGGATGTCCCTGCCGGCCCTGCAGGAACGGCTGAGGACGGATTCTTTGTGCCTCCCACCAAAGGCACCAGCCCAGCCCAGGTAAAATCCTGGATTTCCTTGAAAACCGGGCATTCCCTCCTTTTCCCTTTCTCTTTTTGGTTTTTATTTGGGATTTGTGAGCCCATTGTGGGAACTCTGCCCATCCCAATCCCACCTGGATTCCCTTCCCTCTTTCCCAGGTGTGGTGCAACAATTCCCAGCTCCCCGTGGATCACATCCTGGCAGGATCCTTCGAGACAGCCATGAGGGTGAGTTCTCCATGGAATTTTTAATGGAAAAACATTTTTTTTCCGAATCCTCACTTTGCATCCAATCTGGGAATATTCCATCCCGTTCCCCTGTGGACACGACCCAGAGCGAGGCCTCGGCTCTGCCTGATCCAGGTTTTCCGACCCAATCCATGATTTTTTTTATTTTTTCCATGATTTTTTTTTATTTTTATTTTATTTTTTTTTCCCCCCTCAGCTGCTCCATGACCAGGTGGGAGTGACCAACTTCGGGCCCTACAAGCAGCTCTTCCTGCAGAACCTTCTCCCGGGGCAGGACGACATTCCAGGCCCTTCCCAGCCTCCCGCCATGTACGATTCCCGCACCGCAACTGGTGAGCACTGGGACGCGCCTTTCCCGCCTTCCAGGTGTTTTTCCAGGGGAGAAATCCCGGATTTATGAGGCTGGGAATGAGCCCAGCCGGTCCGAGCTGGACGCTCAGAATTCCAGGAATTCCTGGGCGGCTCCAGGGATGGGGAGGAGCCGGAATTCCGGTTTGTGGAGAGAGCTGGAATTGTGTGGGGGGAAGAGATGGGTTTGGAGCTGAGCTCGGGCAGAATCCAGGGAATGGAGCTGGAAAAGGGAATGGAGAATCCTGAGGGAGCTGAGGGGGGGCTCAGCCTGGAGAAAAGGGGGATCCAGGGGGAATTTGGGATCTGCCAGCGGGGATTTGGGATCAGATCCCAGGGAACGGAGACGGGATGAGAGGGAACTCCTCAAGTTGCACCAGGGCAGGTTTAGGCTGGACATTCAGGGGAATTTTTCCATGCAAAAGCATTGGAAAATTTTTCCATGGAATTTTTCCATGGAAAAGCATTGGGAACCATTTTCCCAAAATTCCATTTTCCATGTACTTTTTCCATGAAAAGCACCAGGCCAGGTTTAGGTTGGATATTTGGGGGAATTTTTCCATGGAAAAGCACCAGCCCGGTTTAGGATGGAAAAAGCACCATTTTTCCAATGGATTTTTTTTTCCACGGGAAAGCATCAGGAGCCATTGGAAGGGACTCAGGGAGGTGCATTCCCATCCCTGGAGGGAATTCCCGGAATTCCTTGGGCCGCTCCGGGAATTCCACCCCACCCTCACCGGGCCCACACAACCCTCACCGCCGCCCTCGTCCCTAAACGTGGAATTTTCCCTAAACGTGGAATTTTCTCGTGGCGGCAGGAAGGAGGCCGGGCTGAAGAACGCGCTGCCGGCCGTGGGGCTGAAGCTGAACGACCTGATCCAGCGGCTGCAGCTCTGCTACCAGCTGACCACGGCCGGCAAGTTCGAGGAGGCCGTGGAGAATTCCGGCTGATCCTGCTCAGCGTGCCCCTGCTGGTGGTGGACAACAAGCAGGAGATCGCCGAGGTCAGGGGTGGGGCGGCGTCCCGGTGGGATTCCCGAGGGGGAAATGTGGGATTCCTGAGGGGAAATGTGGGGATTCCCGAGGGGGAAAATCTGGGATTCCTGAGGGGGAAAATGTGGGATTCCTGAGGGGGAAATGTGGGGATCCCGAGGGGGGAAAGTGTGGGGATCCTGCCCTGAAAATGTGGGATTCCCGAGGGGGAAATGTGGGATTCCTGAGGGGGAAATGTGGGATTCCCGAGGGGGAAATGTGGGATTCCTGAGGGGGAAATGTGTGAATTCCTGCCTAGGAAAACACAGAATTTCTGAGGGAGAGGTGTTGGAATCCTGCCCTGAAAACCATGGAATTCCTGAGGGAGAAATGTGGATTCATGAGGGGGAAATGTGGGGATCCTGAGGGGGAAAATGTGGGATTCCCGAGGGGGGAAATGTGGGATTCCTGAGGGGAAATGTGGGGATTCCCGAGGGGGAAATGTGGGATTCCTGAGGGGGGAAATGTGGGATTCCTGAGGGGGGAAATGTGGGATTCCTGAGGGGGAAATGTGGGATTCCTGAGGGGGAAAATGTGGGGATCCTGCCCTGAAAATGTGGGATTCCTGAGGGGGAAACATGGGATTCCCGAGGGGGAAATGTGGGATTCCCGAGGGGGGAAATGTGGGATTCCTGAGGGGGGAAATGTGGGATTCCTGAGGGGGAAATGTGGGTTTCCTGAGGGGGAAAATGTGGGGATCCTGAAGGGGGAAATGTGTGAATTCCTGCCTTGGAAAACACAGAATTTCTGAGGGAGAGGTGTTGGAATCCTGCCCTGAAAACCATGGAATTCCTGAGGGGGAAATGTGGGATTCGTGAGGGGAAATGTGGGATTCCTGAGGGGAAATGTGGGGATCCTGAGGGGGGAAATGTGGGGATCCTGCCCTGAAAATGTGGGAATTCATGAGGGGAGAAATGTGTGAATTCCTGCCTTGGAAAACACAGAATTTCTGAGGGAGAGGTGTTGGAATCCTGCCCTGAAAACCATGGAATTCCTGAGGGGGAAATGTGGGATTCGTGAGGGGCAAATGTGGATTCCTGAGGGGAAATATGGGATTCCCGAGGAGAAATGTGGGGATCCTGAGGGGGAAATGTGGTGATCCCGAGGGGGAAATGTGGGGATCCTGCCCTGAAAATGTGGGAATTCATGAGGGGGGAAATGTGGGATTCATGAGGGGCAAATGTGGGATTTGTGATGGGGGAAATGTGGGATTCCTGAGGGGGAAGCTGTGGGATTCCTGAGGGGGGAAATGTGGGATTTCCCATCCCGATCCTGAGGTGTCCCCAGGGAAGGTTTGATCCCCGGTTTTTGTCCCAAAGGCACAGCAACTGGTCGCCATATGCCGGGAATACATCGTGGGGTTGTCCATGGAGATCGAGAGGAAGAAACTGCCAAGGAGACTCTGGAGCAGCAGAAGAGGATCTGTGAGGTGAGGGAGGCCTGAGGGGAAAAACAAGGAATTCCTGAGGGGAAAACATGGAATTCCTGAGGGGAAATAATGGAATTCCTGAGGGGAAAACATGGAATTCCTGAGGGGAAATAATGGAATTCCTGAGGGGAAAACATGGAATTCCTGAGGGGAAAACATGGAATTCCTGAGGGGAAAACATGGAATTCCTGAGGAGGGAAATGTGGAATTCTGAGGGGGAAAATGAGAGAATTCTTGAGGGGGAAAACACAGAATTCTTGAGGGGGAAAATGTGGGAATTTCTGAGGGGGAAAATGTGGGAATTCCAGAGGAGGGAAATGTGGAATTCCTGAGGGAGGAAATGTGGAATTCCTGAGGGAGGAGATGAGGGAATTACTGAGGGGAAAACACAGAATTCATGAAGGGGAAATGTGGGATTTCTGAGGGGGAAATGTGAGATTCCCGAGGTGGAAAAACCTCACTGTAAGTTTGGAATTCTGCCTTCAACGCAAACACAACAGGGAAAAAAGGGATTCCCTGTCATAATTCCCGTTATTCCTAAGGATTTTAACCCTTGCTTTCCCTGGCAGATGGCCGCCTACTTCACACACTCCAACCTGCAGCCCGTGCACATGATCCTGGTGCTCCGCACCGCCCTCAACCTCTTCTTCAAGCTCAAGAACTTCAAAAGCGCCGCCACCTTCGCCCGGCGCCTGCTCGAGCTCGGCCCCAAGCCCGAGGTGGCCCAGCAGGTGAGACCCCAAATGGCCCTGTGCCCAAATGGCCCTGTCCCCAAACACAGCAGGTGAGACCCCAAATGGCCCTGTCCCCAAATGGCCCTGTCCCCAAACACAGCAGGTGAGACCCCAAATGGCCCTGTCCCCAAACTCAAGCTGAGATCCTCAGATGAGGCCCTCAAGTTGGGAAACACCATTTTTGGGGTGTCCTTGTCCCCAAACCCGAGCTGAGGCCCTCAGGTGTGGAACCCTTCCTGTGATACCATTTTTGGGGTGTCCCTGTCCCCAAACCTCCACTGTGACCCTTTTTGGGGTATCCTTGTCCCCAAACTCCCACTGTGACCCATTTTGGGGTATCCCTGTCCCCAAACCCCCGCCGTGACCCTTTTTGGGGTTATCCTTGTCCCCAAACCCCCGCCATGACCCTTTTTGGGGTTATCCTTGTCCCTAAACTCCCACTATGACCCTTTTTATGGTGTCCCCTGTCCCCAAACTCCCACTGTGACTCTTTTATGGTGTCCCTGTCCCCAAACTCCCACTATGACTCTTTTTATGGTGTCCCTGTCCCCAAACTCCCACTGTGACCTTTTTCTGGGGTATCCTTGCCCCAAACCCCCACTGTGACCCTTTTTAGGGTATCCCTGTCCCAGACCTTCGCCGTGACCCATTTTGGGGTGTCCCCCTTTCCCGTGCTCACGGCGCTGCCCTTCCCAGACGCGGAAGATCCTGGCGGCGTGCGAGAAGAACCCCATTGACAGCCACCAGCTCAACTACGACCAGCACAACCCTTCGACATCTGCGCCGCCTCCTACCGCCCCATCTACCGCGGCAAAGCCGTGGAGAAGTGTCCCCTCAGCGGGGCCTGCTACACAGCCCCGAGTTCCGGGGACAGATCTGCCGCGTCACCACGGTGAGGGGACACCGCTGGTTCCGTGGGAATTGCATCCCGCTGAGCTGTGGGCTGGGAGAAACTGGGGTTTAGAGGTGGTTTGAGGGGTCAGCACCACCCTCATGGGGGAAATTTTGTGGTTCCGGAGGGGGTTTGGGGTCTCTCCCGCAAGGGAGGCCTGTGGGAGTTGGGCCTGGTTGGTCTGGAGGAGGCTGAGGGGGAAACTTCTCCATCCGTGGAAATACCTCAAATACTTGTGGAAATACCTTAAATATCCCCAAAAATCTCTCCTCTGAGGGGGAATTTAGGCTCTGGAGCCTTTTTCCCACAAGGGAGGCCTGTGGGAGTTGGGCCTGGTTGGTCTGGAGGAGGCTGAGGGGGAATCTCATCCATCCATGGAAATATCTTAAATGTCTGTGGAAATATCTTCAATATCCATGGAAATATCTCCAAAATGCCAAAAAAATCTCTCATCTGAGAGGGGATTTGGGCTCTGGAGCCTTTCTCCCACAAGGGAGGCCTGTGGGAGTTGGGCCTGGTTGGTCTGGAGGAGGCTGAGGGGAAAACTTCTCCATCCGTGGAAATATCTCAAATATCCATGGAAATAGCTCAAATACTTGTGGAAATACCTTAAATATCCCCAAAAATCTCTCCTCTGAGGGGGGATTTGGGCTCTGGAGTGTTTTTCCCACAAGGGAGGCCTGTGGGAGTTGGGCCTGGTTGGTCTGGAGGAAGCTGAGGGGGAATCTCATCCATCCATGGAAATATCTTAAATATCTGTGGAAATATCTTCAATATCCATGGAAATATCTCCAAAATGCCAAAAAAATCTCTCATCTGAGAGGGGATTTGGGCTCTGGAGCCTTTTTCCCACAAGGGAGGCCTGTGGGAGTTGGGCCTGGTTGGTCTGGAGGAGGCTGAGGGGGAAACTTCTCCATCCGTGGAAATATCTCAAATATCCATGGAAATACCTCAAATACTTGTGGAAATACCTTAAATATCCCCAAAAATCTCTCCTCTGAGGGGGATTTGGGCTCTGGAGTGTTTTTCCCACAAGGGAGGCCTGTGGGAGTTGGGCCTGGTTGGTCTGGAGGAAGCTGAGGGGGAATCTCATCCATCCATGGAAATATCTTAAATATCTGTGGAAATATCTTCAATATCCATGGAAATATCTCCTATATCCCCAAAAATCTCTCCTTTGAGAGGGGATTTAGGCTCTGGAGCCTTTCTCCCACAAGGGAGGCCTGTGGGAGTTGGGCCTGGTTGGTCTGGAGGAGGCTGAGGGGGAATCTTGTCCATCCATAAAAAAAAATTCAATATCCATGGAAATACCTTAAATATCTCCTCAAATTTCCACACAAATCCCCTAAGAGATGGTCCCAAACGCCTCCCAGAGCTCCCAGCGCAGGCTCAGGAGTGACAGCCACAAAACCAACCCCTAAATCCCGAGTTTTCACCCCTAAATCCCGAATTTTCACCCCTGAATCCTCTCTTTGTCCCTGCAGGTGACGGAGATCGGGAAGGACGTGCTGGGGCTGCGCATCAGCCCCCTCCAGTTCCGCTAGGAATTCTCCTGGAGAAGGAAATTCCCAGTCCCCCACCCCAGCTTTCCCCCCACTCCCTCCCCTTGGCCATTCCCATCCTCTCTTCCCGGTTTTTCCCCACTCTGGAATGCCAGATTGGGGTTTTTTTCCCCCACATTTAGCAGGAATTTGTTTTCCTTGTTCCCAGAGCAATTTTCCTGTGCTTTTATCCCATTTTTTTTCCAGAGGGGGAAGGGGGGGGGCCTCTTCCCAAATCCTGGTTGTGACACAACCACCTCTGCTCCCCTTAAAATCCTAAAAAATTGCTCAGAAAACCTGGGATGGGCTCTGTAAATCCCGAATCCAGGGAAATCCTGCTCCCTCTGGAAGTGTCTCTGTGTTTGTTGATTCCTCCTGTTGTCACCATGGCAACTCAATGAGCTCCCATTGTTAATAAAGTTCATTAATGACCTGGATTTTCCTGATCTGCAGCTCAGGACACACCAAATAAACCCTGGAATTTAATCCCTTTTCTCTGCTTGGAGAGCTGGGAATTTTCCCGAGGATGGGATCGGCTCTCCTGGGATGATTGGGAGCTGTGTGTGTTAATTAGTGGGGTGCAATTACTGCCCCAATTAACCCTGAGGGTCCTTCCTTCATTTCCAGGTGCAGTTTTGTCCTTTGGCACTCCTGGGTTTGGCTCCGGGGCATGGAAAAGGCTCCGGGATTCCCAAATTTGGGTGGATTCTGGCGTTAATGGTAGCTGAGTGTTGTTTTCTGTGTGCTTTTGTTGTTTTGGGTTTCCTGTAGCAATAAATCCACATGTAATGAAAATAGAACAAGGTTATCACCTTGTGTTAATGTGTGTGTGGTGTTGTATTGCTGTGTATTGCAGGGTGAGCACAGGGTGAGCAATCCAGAGCAGTCCAGAGCAGTACAGAGCAGTCCAGAGCAATCCAGAGCAATCCAGAGCAGTCCAGAGCAATCCAGAGCAGCACAGAGCAGTACAGAGCAATCCAGAGCAGTCCAGAGCAATCCAGAGCAATCCAGGGCAGTACAGAGCAATCCAGAGCAGTACAGAGCAATCCAGAGCAGTGCAGAGCAGTACAGAGCAGTACAGGGCAGTACAGAGCAATCCAGGGAAATCCAGAGCAGTCCAGAGCAATCCAGAGCAGTCCAGAGCAATCCAGAGCAGTCCAGAGCAATCCAGAGCAATCCAGAGCAGTACAGAGCAATCCAGAGCAGTGCAGAGCAATCCAGGGAAATCCAGAGCAGTCCAGAGCAATCCAGAGCAGTGCAGAGCAGTCCAGAGCAATCCAGAGCAATCCAGAGCAGTACAGAGCAATCCAGAGCAGTCCAGAGCAGTACAGAGCAATCCAGAGCAGTACAGAGCAATCCAGAGCAGTACAGGGCAATCCAGAGCAATCCAGGGAAATCCAGAGCAGTACAGAGCAGTACAGAGCAGTACAGAGCAATCCAGAGCAATCCAGTGCAGTACAGAGCAATCCAGAGCAATCCAGAGCAGTACAGAGCAGTACAGAGCAATCCAGAGCAGTACAGAGCAATCCAGAGCAGTACAGAGCAGTCCAGAGCAATCCAGAGCAGTCCAGAGCAATCCAGAGCAGTACAGAGCAATCCAGAGCAATCCAGAGCAGTACAGAGCAGTGCAGAGCAGTACAGAGCAGTACAGAGCAATCCAGAGCAGTACAGAGCAGTACAGAGCAGTGCAGAGCAATCCAGAGCAGTACAGAGCAGTCCAGAGCAATCCAGGGCAGTACAGAGCAATGCAGAGCAATCCAGAGCAGTACAGAGCAATCCAGAGCAATCCAGAGCAATCCAGGGCAGTACAGAGCAGTCCAGGGCAGTACAGAGCAATCCAGAGCAGTACAGAGCAGTACAGAGCAGTCCAGGGCAGTACAGAGCAGTCCAGGGCAGTACAGAGCAATCCAGAGCAGTACAGAGTAGTACAGAGCAATCCAGAGCAGTACAGAGCAGTACAGAGCAGTACAGAGCAGTACAGAGCAGTACAGAGCAATCCAGAGCAATCCAGAGCAGTACAGAGCAATCCAGAGCAGTACAGAGCAATCCAGAGCAATCCAGAGCAATCCAGAGCAGTACAGAACAATCCAGAGCAATCCAGAGCAATCCAGAGCAGTACAGAGCAATCCAGAGCAGTACAGAGCAGTACAGAGCAGTACAGAGCAGTACAGAGCAATCCAGAGCAGTACAGAGCAATCCAGAGCAATCCAGAGCAATCCAGAGCAGTCCATAGCAGTCCAGAGCAATCCAGAGCAGTACAGAGCAGTGCAGAGCAGTACAGAGCAATCCAGAGCAATCCAGAGCAGTCCATAGCAGTCCAGAGCAATCCAGAGCAGTACAGAGCAGTACAGAACAATCCAGAGCAGTACAGAGCAATCCAGAGCAGTACAGGGCAGTACAGAGCAGTACAGAACAATCCAGAGCAGTACAGAGCAATCCAGAGCAATCCAGAGCAATCCAGAGCAGTACAGAGCAATCCAGAGCAATCCAGAGCAGTACAGAGCAGTACAGAGCAATCCAGAACAATCCAGAACAGTCCAGAGCAATCCAGAGCAATCCAACACCACACACCCATTAAAGGTGACCTCTCTCCTCCTTGCTGTGACACCTGGGCTGGCAGGGATGACACAGTGACCTCGGCCAGCCCATGCTGCCTGTGCCATCACCTGGCACTGACGTGTTTGATGAAAATCCTTTGGCTGGGATTTTTCTCCTGAGAAGCCTCAGAACAGAAATGGAACCAATAACGATCTGCTGGCTGTGGAGTGTGGGCTGGAGATGGTTTAGCAACAGGGGCATCTTGGGTTGGTCTCCTGTGCATTGTTTCTACTCAATGACCAATCATGGTCCAGCTGTGTCGGGGCTGTGAGCAGTCCCAGGTTTTTATTTTTCATTCCTTTCCAGCTTTCTGATGTCTCCTTGCTCTTTTAGTGTAGTTCTAATATCTCATTTTCTTTTAATAGAATAGAGATCATACAATAATATTTCAGCCTTCTGAAAGGTGGAGTCAGATTCTCGTCTCTTCCCTTGTCCTGGGGACCCTCAAACATCACCAGAATCAGAAGCTTGAGCGGGTCTGGGCAGCAGCAAATGAAATAAAATGAAAAGCTTTAAAAATAGGAAAATTAAATAAAATATTAAATAAAAAATACAATTTAAGAAATAAAATAAATGCTTTAAAAAGAGAAAAATTAAAAACAAAAATTAAATTAAAAGAATTTAAGAAATAAAATCAATGCTTTAAAAATAGAAAAATTAAATTAAAAATTAAATAAAAAATTAAATTTAAGAAATAAAATAAACGCTTAAAAAATAGAAAAGTTAAAACCAAAAATTAAATTAAAAAAAATTTAAGAAATAAAATCAATGCTTTAAAAATAGAAAAACGAAAACTAAAAATTAAATTAAAAAAAAAAAAAGCTTTTAAAATAGAAAAACTAAAAATAAAAATTAAATAAAAAAAAAAGATAAAAAGAAAGCTTTAAAAATAGAAAAATAAAAAACAAAATTAATGAAAAAATAAAATTAAAAAAACCCAAAAGCTTTAAGAATAGAAAAATTAAAAAATAAAATTAAAAAATAAAATAAAAAGCTTTAAAAATAGAACAATTAAAAATAAAAATTAAAAATAGAAAAATTAAAAATAAAAAAATAAAATAACAAAAATAATTTAAAATAAATGAAGGACAAAATAAAAACTGTAAACTGCCATAAAAGTTCCATAAAAGGTAGTGCTGTAATGCAAGACCCTCAAACACCACCACAATCACCAGCCTGAGTTGGTCTGGGCAGCACCAAATGAAAGAAAATAAAAAGCTTTAAAAATAGAAAAATTAAAAATAAAAAGTAAATAAAAAAGAAAATTAAAAAATAAAAAGCTTTAAAACTAGAAAAATTAAAAATAAAAATAAAATAAAAAATAAAATTAAAAAAACAAAATAAATGCTTTAAAAATAGAAAAATTAAAAATAAAAATTACACAAAAAATAAAATTCAAAAAATTAAATAAATGCGTTAAAAAAGAAAAAAAATTAATTTGAAAAAATATTTTTAAAAAAGCTTTAAAAATAGAAAAATTAAAAATAAAAATTAATTAAAAAATAAAATTTAAAAAATTGAATGCTTTAAAAATAGAAAAATAAAAAAAATTAATTAAAAAATAACATTAAAAAACCCAACAGCTTTAAAATAGAAAAATTAAAAATAAAACTTAAATTAAAAAAAAATTTAAAAAAATAAAATAAATGCTTTAAAAATAGAAAAATTTAAAAAAAAATTAAATTAAAAAAACCTAAAAGCGTTAAAAATAGAAAAATTAAAAATAAAAATAAATAAAAAATAAAATTAAAAAACCTAAAAGCGGTAAAAATAGAAAAATTAAAAATAAAAATAAATTTTAAAAATTTAAAAAAATAAAATAAAAAGCTTTAAGACTAGAAAAATTAAAAATAAAAATTAAATAAAAAATAAAAAAATTAAATAAAAGCTTTAAAAATAGAAAAATTAAAACTAAAAATTAATTTAAAATAAAATTTAAAAAATTAAATAAAAGCTTTAAAAATAAAAAATTAAAAAATAATTAAATTGAAAAAATTTTTAAAAAGGCTGCAAAAATAGAAAAATAGAAAAATAAAAAATAATAAAAAAAATAAAATTGAAAAAATTAATTAAAAATTAATGTAAAGTAAAATAAACACTGTAAAGTGCTGTGAAGTACTGTAAAAGTTCCTTAAAAGGGAGTGCGGAAATGCACGAGTGTCGTAAAACTGCCGGAAAGCGCCACTGTCGTAAAAGGGGCCGTAAAGCGCGACTGTCGTAAAAGGGGCCGTAAAGCGCGACTGTCGTAAAAGGTGCCGTAAAGCAAAACTGTCGTAAAAGGTGCCGTAAAGCGCGGCTGTCGTAAAAGGTGCCGTAAAGCGCGACTGTCGTAAAAGGTGCCGTAAAGTGCGACTGTCGTAAAAGGGGCCGTAAAGCAAAACTGTCGTAAAAGGTGCCGTAAAGCGCGACTGTCGCAAAAGGGGCCGTAAAGCAAAACTGTCGTAAAAGGGGCCGTAAAGCAAAACTGTCGTAAAAGGGGCCGTAAAGCAAAACTGTCTCAAAACTGCCGTAAAGCGCGACTGTCGTAAAAGGGGCCGTAAAGCGCGAGTGTCGTAAAAGGGGCCGTAAAGCGCGACTGCCGTAAAAGGGGCCGTAAAGCGCGACTGTCGTAAAAGGTGCCGTAAAGCAAAACTGTCGTAAAAGGGGTCGTAAAGCGCGACTGTCGCAAAAGGTGCCGTAAAGCAAAACTGTCGTAAAAGGTGCCGTAAAGCGCGACTGTCGTAAAAGGGGTCGTAAAGCGCGACTGTCGCAAAAGGGGCCGTAAAGCAAAACTGTCGTAAAAGGGGCCGTAAAGCAAAACTGTCGTAAAAGGGGCCGTAAAGCAAAACTGTCGTAAAAGGGGCCGTAAAGTGCGACTGTCGTAAAAGGGGCCGTAAAGCAAAACTGTCGTAAAAGGTGCCGTAGAGCGCGACTGTCGTAAAAGGTGCCGTAAAGCAAAACTGTCGTAAAGGGTGTCGTAAAGCGCGACTGTCGCAAAGGGTGCCGTAAAGCGCGACTGTCGTAAAATGTGCCGTAAGGCCCGACTGTTGCAAAAGGGGCTGTAAAGCAAGACTGTGGTAAACGGCAGTGCTGTAAGGCTCTGGTCGAGGACGCCTCTTCTGCAGCATCGAGGCTGGTGACACACCCGTGTAATGATGGGACAAACTCACTCTGCCCACGACAGAGATCTCTATAAGCATCTAAAGCCTTTCTAAATTTCAATGCCAAGTCAGTTACCGAAACAGGAGCCAAAAATCCTTTTAGAATGAACTTTATTGAATTTTTCCAATGCTGACCGTTCAGCTCTGTTTACCAGACTTTTGGACACAGTTTGTATAAAGCACTTTAATAGCATCTCCCGCTGGGATTTGGCTGCCGGGGAGCTGCTCCCAGCTTGCCGGGCGCTGCTTGAGCTGTGTTTGCCGCACGGGGGATGCCCCCCGCAGCTGCCACGCCGAGCTCCGCCCCTCCTGCGGCTCCGCCCCTCGCCGCCGCGAGTCTCCAGCCGGACACGCCCCCCCATTTCCCCGTCGGACGCCGCCGCTCCGGTACCCGCGGTCCTGCCCGCCCCTGCCGCCCCGCCCCCCGCCCTCGCGATCCCGACACCCCCCCCCCCGGCCCCGGCCAACCCCCGGCCCCTCCCACCGCTGCCGCCATCCCCGCCTTTGCCATCCCGTCGGTCCCGGCTGTCCCGGGCCCCGCCCCTCAATCCCGCCCACCGGCGTCACCGGCCCCGCCCCCTCCTGCCGCCGCCGCGCCGCCGCCGCTCCCCCCCCCCCCGTTCCCCGCGAGTGCGGCCGCTCCCGCCCCCCCCCACGTCCCCCTCGCCCCCTTTGCCGACACAGCGGGGCCGGTGCTGGCCCAGGTCCCGTCGCTGCTGCCGCGTCTCTGCCGTTCCCTGCGGCTCCCGGATCTGCGGTGCCGAGCGCTCCTGGCGCGGCCGCGCTGCGCCCCCTGCGGACGCTGCCGCGGGAAGCTCTGCCCCCCCCACCCTGGCGTTCCAGTGCACGCCGCACACCCCGAGCTGCCCACGGGCCCCGCGGCAGTGCAAACGCCCCCGGCTGACCCCATCCCTGCCGGCGTTTGGCCGCAATCCCCCGGCCCCGGCACGGCCCCGCTTGCGCTAGGAGCGAAGCGCCCCGGCCCGCCCAGCCCGCCCGTGCCGGCGCCGCGGCGTCCGCACCGGTGGCTGCAGCCCGCCCGTGCCTGCCGCCGCTCCAGTGCAGCCTCTGCCGTGCCTGCCGCCGCTCCAGCCCCGCCTCTGCCGTGCCTGCCGCCGCTCCAGCCCCGCCTCTGCCGTGCCCCGCCGCAGTGCAAACGCCCCCGGCTGACCCCGTCCCTGCCGGCGTTCCGGCGCAATCCCCCGGCCCCGGCACGGCCCCGCTTGCGCTGGGAGCGGAGCGCCCCAGCCCGCCCAGCCCGCCCGTGCCGGCGCCGCGGCGTCCGCACCGGTGGCTGCAGCCTCTGCCGTGCCTGCCGCCGCTCCAGCCCCGCCTCTGCCGTGCCTGCCGCCGCTCCAGCGCTGCCTCTGCCGTGCCTGCCGCCGCTCCAGCCCCGCCTCTGCCGTGCCTGCCGCCGCTCCAGCCCAGCCTCCCGTCCGCGCCGCCCCTGCCCGCCGGGCCGGCAGCCACCGCAGCCCCCAGCGGCTGCACGCCGCGGCCCCCCCGCCGCCTCCCCGCCGCTCCTCCCGCCACCCCGGGATCATCTCCCGCTGACGAGGCCGCCCCGCCGCCGCCCGTGGTCGCTTTCCCGCTCCTGCCGCCGCCGCTCCATGGCGGGCGGAGCCGCGCCTTCCCCAGCGCGGCCCCCCACTTCAGAGCTGCCGGATGGCGCAGCTCCGCCGCCTCCTGCAACCACGGACGTCCCGGCGTTCCTTTCCATGGCCGCGGCCGCAGCCCCGGCTCCCGTTTCCGCAGCTCCGCCGCCTCCCGCACCCCCCAGCCCGCCCGCCGCCGCCGCCGCCGCCGCCATCATCAGGGCTGTCCCCCCGCTGCCCTAGTGCCGTAATCCACGCATGCGCAGTTGCTGCAACCCCCGCACCAGCGATATCGCTCCGCGCCGCCTCATCCAACCACGGCGCCGCTTCCGGGATCAGCCGCACGCATGCGCAGTTCTATTCCCACGGCTCCGCCGCCACCCCGCACTGCTTTGGCCGCCGCTTTGGCACAGCGCGGTCCCGGTTCCGAGCCGCCGCGTGCCGCTGTCCGGACACAGCCGGCATCCCTGTGCGCTGGCACGGCGCTTCCGCCGGCACCGGGTCCGTACACGGCACGGCAGCAGGGGAAAACTGCAGCGCCGTGCGTGTATCCTTCCGCGTCTCTCGCTCTGCCGGACCTCTCTCGGCCGCATCACCGAGAGATCCCCACCCCCCCCCCCCCCCCCCCCACCCCCCCCCCCCCCACCCCCGGCAGCGCGCGACCCTGCACAACCGACACCTGATATCCCTCCGCGCTTTCGCCTTCCGCACCCCTAGCACCGAGTGGGACTACTTTGTGTCACGATTCGTCCGCACAGCCGCATCCGTGCACACAAACCCGGCAACGAGGAGGGGGAGGCTGGAATATGACAGACCTGAGGGGAAAAACAAGGAATTCCCCAGGGGAAAACATGGAATTCCTGAGGGGGGAAGTGCAGGATTCCTGAGGGGCAAAATGTGGGAATTCCTGAGGGGGAAAATGTGGGAATTCCTGAGGGGGAACCCAAACCCTTCCCAGAGCTCCCAGCAGAGGCTCAGGACTGACAGCCACAAAACCAACCCCTAAATCCCGAGTTTTCACCCCTAAATCCCGAGTTTTCACCCCTAAATCCCGAATTTTCACCCCTAAATCCCGAGTTTTCATCCCTAAATCCCGAATTTTCACCCCTAAATCCCGAATTTTCGCCCCTGAATCCTCTCTTTGTCCCTGCAGGTGACGGAGATCGGGAAGGACGTGCTGGGGCTGCGCATCAGCCCCCTCCAGTTCCGCTAGGAATTCTCCTGGAGAAGGAAATTCCCAGTCCCCCACCCCAGCTTTCCCCCCACTCCCTCCCCTTGGCCATTCCCATCCTCTCTTCCCGGTTTTTCCCCACTCTGGAATGCCAGATTGGGGTTTTTTCCCCCCACATTTAGCAGGAATTTTTTTTCCTTGTTCCCAGAGCGGTTTTCCTGTGCTTTTATCCCAGAGGGGGAAGGGGGGGGCCTCTTCCCAAATCCTGGTTGTGACACAACCACCTCTGCTCCCCTTAAAATCCTAAAAATTGCTAAAAAATCCCTGGGATTGGCTCTGTAAATCCCGAATCCAGGGAAATCCTGCTCCCTCTGGAAGTGTCTCTGTGTTTGTTGATTCCTCGTGTTGTCGCCATGGCAACTCAGTGAGCTCCCATTGTTAATAAAGTTCATTAATGACCTGGATTTTCCTGATCTGCAGCTCAGGACACACAAAAAAAAAATTAAATAAAATAAAAAAAATTGGAATTTAATCCCTTTTCCCAGCTCTGCTTGGAGAGCTGGGAATTTTCCAGAGGATGGGATCGGCTCTCCTGGGATGATTGGGAGCTGTGTGTGTTAATTAGTGGGGTGCAATTAACGCCCCAATTAACCCTGAGGGCCCATCCTGCATTTCCAGGTGGAGTTTTGTCCTTTGGCACTCCCGGGTTTGGCTCCGGGGCATGGAAAAGGCTCCGGGATTCCCAAATTTGGGTGGATTCCGGTGTTAATGGTAGATGAGTGTTGCCGCCCCTTGGGGCGTGGCGTCCCGGGTCGAGGACGGTTCTGTGGACCCCGAGATACCGGGAGAGCGGGGCACAGGGACCCCTGGACCCTGAACCCCGAGAAAGCGGGACCCTGGGACCGCAGGACACCGGGGAACAGCGGCACTGGGACCCCGAACCCCGGGGAAAGAGGGACACGGGGACCGCAGGACACTGGGGAACGGTGGCACTGTGACAGCGGGGCACGGGGACGCTGGCGTCACCCTGATTTTTTAACATTTTCTAAGCCTTCTGATGTTTACATTCTTGTAACGAACTTTCTCACACACTTTCTGTAAATAGCTTATTGTTTTGCATTCTTTTCTGGAGGAGGAGAAATCTGACGGACTGTTGCATTGTCCAGTGTCATTGGAGAGGTGGCACTGTCACCCTCCAATCCGCTGTCACTTTTGGGAATCTATAAATGTTGGAGTCAGAAATAAAAAAGTCCCTTTTTACCTTGAAAAGAGCAGCGTGTCCGAGTCGTTTCTAATTAGTGGCCAATCACAGTCCAGCTATCCAGACTCTCAGTCAGTCACAAGCCTTTGTTATCATTCTTTTTCTGTTCTTAGCCAGCCTTCTGATGAAATCCTTTCTTCTATTCTTTTAGTATAGTTTTAATATTATATATATATATATATATCATAAAATAATAAATCAAGCCTTCTGGAACATGGAGTCAGATTCTCGTCTCTTCCCTGGTCTTGGGACCCCTCCAAACACCACCACATCCACCACACAGTTTTCCCATCCGTCCATCCCTCACACTGGCACTGCTGCACCGAGTTGCCATGGCACTGCACACCCCCCTGGTGACAGGGCTGAAACCGGAGCCAGCGGTGCCATTGTGGGATGTGCTTTCCCAGGAACAGGCCTGGCTTTGTCCCAGCCTGTGCCACCGCCTGCCACGCTCCTGTCTCAGAGCTGTCACCTGCTCCAGGCACTTTTCCAGGCAGCCCAAGCTCGGAGGTGCTTCGGACATCCTCCATCCCTGCAGCAGAGAGCCCTGGCTTGTGGCAGCAATGCAGCTGCAGCGGCGGGGATGCCTTGTGTCTCTGCTCCCTGCTCTCAGCACCCTTTGCACCTGAAGAGAAAACAGTAAGTGTGTGCAACCCGTTATTCTGCCTCCCAACAAGGCACCCCAGCAACATCCCACTCCATGCTGTGGTGTCCCTCCTCCTCCCCCAGTGACCTCTTTCCTCTCTCATGGCCACCATGGGGTCCTCCATGGAAAGGCCTTTTTCCTTCCTGAAACTTAATAGCAAACAGCCTACAAGCCATCCCTAATTTTCATAAATAATGTAAAATAATGCTGCTCGTTTGAAGTGCTGGACTACGCTGGCTTGGCTGCCTAAGCACCTCTCTGTCTTGCAGGCAGGCTGCTGCTCCTGCCCATGGATTCAGAAGAGGCTGCTGAGCTGGGAGTGCAGCTCACCAGCCCCATACACCCCACAGTCCCCTCTGTCCCCACAGCCCCTACACACCCCTCTGCCCCCTCTGTCCCCATACACCCCACAGTCCCCTCTGTCCCCACTGCCCCCATTGCCCCCACCAGCCCCATACACACCACAGCCTCCACACACCCTACTGCCCCCTCAGCCCCCATACACCCCACAGTCCCCTCTGTCCCCACTGCCCCCTCTGCCCCCACCATCCCCACCAGCCCCGCAGCCCCCACCACCTGCAAGAAGAGCCAGAAGAAGAAGAAGGCTGAGGCCAGGGCAGCTGCTCAGGAGGGAGGGGATGAGGCAGCAGGGCGGGTGGGTGCCATCGAGGGCCTCACACGGGCCGGACACCGGGCGCTGGCCCTGGGCGCCGGGCGGGAGGCAGTGGGGTGCTTCAGGAAGGCCCTGCTCCTCTCCAGGGACACAGTGAGCCCCCAGCTCCACAGGGCTTGTGCCTTCAACCTGGGGGCTGCCTACGTGGAGACTGGGAAGCCCAGAAAGGGCTTTGAGTTCCTCCTCCAGTCCCAGCCCTCAGAGGCGGAGAGCAGGGACAGCTCGAAGAGCCTTTATTTCAGCGTCGGGGCGGCTCACGAAGGGCTCCAGGATTTTCCAAAGGCTCTGGAGTGTTTTGAGAAAGTTTCCGGGCACGCTGGCGCTGCTCAGGCCGGCAGCCGAGCGGGCACCTGCGTGCAGATGGGCTGCTGCTACCTGGGCATGCGGGAGCCGGCGCGGGCCGCGCGGTGCTTCCTGGACGCGGCGCAGGCCTACGCGGCGGCGGAGAGCCCCGGGGCCGCGGCCGTGGCTCTGAGCAGGGCGAGCGGCTCCATGCTGCAGAGCCGGCGGTTCCGGGCCGCGGAGATCGCCGGGGTCCTCGCCCGGTGCCGCTCGCTCTGTGAATCCATCCCCGACCCCGCCCTGCGAGGTAACGCCGCGCCCTCCCCTCTTAGGGCCCTGCGCCGCAGCTCCCACGCCTGCTTTTCCTCTCTGCCCTCAGGGAAACTCTACAGCGACATCGGCCTCGGCTACTCGCAGCTGCACATCTTCTCCCTGGCTGCCGAGAGCTTCGAGCGGGCGCTGGGGCTGTGCGGTGGGGAGCGGGACCGGCAGCGGGAGGCGGCGCTGCTGCAGAACCTGGGCGCTGCCCTCAACGCCCTGAGCAGCTTCGGCACCGCGCTGGGCTGGCACCGGCGAGCGGCTGCGCTGCACGGTACCTCACACACACCGGTACCTTACACACACCGGTACTGAACACCGGTACCTCACACACACTGGTACTGAACACCGGTACTGCACACCGGTACCTCACACACACTGGTACCGCACACCGGTACCTCACACACACCGGTACTGAACACTGGTACTGCACACCGGTACCTCACACACACCGGTACCTCACACACACCGGTACCGCACACCGGTACCTCACACACACCGGTACCGCACACCGGTACCTCATACACACCGGTACTGCACACACACCGGTACTGCACACACACCGGTACTGCACACCGGTACCTCATACACACCGGTACTGCACACACACCGGTACTGAACACCGGTACCTCACACACACCGGTACCGCACACCGGTACCTCACACACACCGGTACTGAACACCGGTACTGCACACCGGTACCTCACACACACCGGTACCGCACACCGGTACCTCATACACACCGGTACTGCACACCGGTACTGCACACACACCGGTACCTCACACACACCGGTACCGCACACCGGTACCTCACACTGGTACCTCACACCGGTACCTCACACTGGTAGCCCACACCAGTACCCCACACTGGTACCGCACACCGGTACCCCACACCGTACCTCACACCGGTACCACACACCAGTACCCCACACTGGTACCGCACACCGGTACCCCACACCGTACCTCACACCGGTACCACACACCAGTACCCCACACCGGTACCCCACACCGTACCTCACACCGGTACCACACACCAGTACCCCACACCGGTACCCCACACCGTACCTCACACCGGTACCACACACCAGTACCCCACACCGGTACCCCGAACCGCCGTCCCTGCCCTTGGCTGGGCCGCATGGGCCAGCTCGGCATGGAGTTCCCAATTCCAGGTGCTCTGGGGAACCGCAGGGCTCAGGGGCAGAGCTTTGGGAACCTGGCGTTCGCCTGCAGCCAGCTCGGGAAGCACGGGGATGCCGCTGAGAGCTACCTGCACGCCCTGCAAGCCTTCAGGGACTCGGGTGAGGGGAGGCACATCCCGCAGCCAGGCGGGCTCAGGTTGGGTAATGCCGCCTGCCGGGGATCTTGGCTGAGCAGGGCAGGGATTAACGCAGCCCTTTGCCTCCCAGGGGACTTGCAGGGGCAGTGGCAAGCGTGCGAGGGGCTGGGGGCAGCGTGCTTGCACCTGGGAGACCCCCAGAAAGCCATCGGGCACTATCAGGAGGCCCTGATTTTGCTTTCCCGCTGTCAGGTGAGGCATGATGGGGCACTGGCCTCAGCCCAGGGGCGCACCCACTTAGCCCATCACACATAGGGGTTCTCTCCACCACAGGACAGCCCCAGAGCTGCCCACAAACGGGTGGTGCACAAGCTCACAGATGCCATCCAGCACCGGCTCCACCTCAGCCACCTCTCCTACCAGCGGGGCTGGGCACCCAGCCCAGGCCTGGTGAGCATCACCCAGGGCATGGCACACTCTGCAGGGCTGGGAACTGGGACCCCAGTAGGGTTTGCTGGGCAGATTAACACGTGTTAACCCCATCAGGAGCCCAGCCAGCTGCGGTTTTGCTCCACAGTGCCCCGTGCCAGTAGGACACAGCTCCAGGGGAGCAAGGTGTGAGTAGCAAAGCTGCCATCCTCTCTCTTCTTCCTCTGGAATGAGTTTCCAGATGAATCAGGAGACAAGCCTTCCTTCACTCCATGTCCTTCAGGGGGAAAGCCCAGGCTGAGGACAAGCTGTGTTGGTGTACACCAGGAGCACATCCTGGGTATTCAGGTGAGAGGCTGCAAACTAAACGTGGGGTTGAGCCATCAGGCAATTCCTGGTGAGCTGAGTCTTTAGCACAGTCTGATACTGTGTTCTTGTCTGTTTGTCCTGGAGGCACAAGAATGACCCTGACTGGTGGTCTCTCACTGGAGCCTTGCAACCCAAGTGGGCTCCTGGGCACCTCTGAGGAGGATGACGATGGTCCCAGCTCAGCTCCAGGGTATCACAGTGAGCCCCAGGCTAACAGGTGGGTGGGCAAGGGGGAGGCACCTCAGTACAGCCCCTGGCACCAAATACCTCTGCAGCACAAGGGACCTGTCCTGTTGAACAGTAAAAATCCAGAGTTTTTTAAAGATACATAATTCTGGGAGTGCGTTTGGGGTCATTCCAGCTGGATCTCAGGGAGGGTCCAGTCATGGTGTGACAGGAGAGCTGTCCAGAAGCCCCACACGAGGTTCACTTGTCTCTCAGCACAAGGACCACCAGCCCCCTGCCCCAGGCCAAGCCGCCCCATGCCAGCCTCCAGCTGTGTAAGTACCACAGACCACCAGAACATCGCTTCTGCAGTGAGCCCAGGCCTGAGGGTCTCACACTGCATCCCACAGGGCACCAAAACCACCAAAACCTCCATCAGAGGCCTCCAGAGAGGTAGGTGATACCTTGGGGGAGTGGGCAAGGGAGGTTTGGGCTCCAGAGTGTCCTCTGAGGGGAGGGTTCACGAGTGGAGACCTCATCAGGGCTGTTTCGTGGAATGGACACGACCCCAAGCCAGAAGTCACAGGGGCTGGGAATTTTGGTACCTCAAGCCAACACCAAAGCCATGCCCTGTGGATGGGACAGCAGATCTAAGGGTGGCTTCCAGTCCCCTGGTATGAACCTCTTGCCTGTTCCTGCCTAAAGGGGCTCCAACAGAGCTGGAGAGGGACTTTGGACAAGGGCCTGAAGGGACAGGACAAGGGGGATGGCTTCCCACTGCCAGAGGGCAGGGTTAGATGGGATTTTGGGAAGGAATTCTTGGCTGTGAGGGTGGGCAGGCCCTGGCACAGGTGCCCAGAGAAGCTGTGGCTGCCCCATCCCTGGCAGTGTCCAAGGCCAGGTTGGACAGGGCTTGGAGCAACCTGGGATAGTGGAAGGTGTCCCTGCCCATGGCAGGGGGTGGGATGAGATGGGCTTAAAGATCCCTTCCCACCCAAACCAGTCAGTGACTCCGTGATTTGATGATTCCATTTTGCATCCTGCTGGACACCCTCACTCCCCGTGACGCCTCCGTGACCTTGCAGCCGTGACAATGACCCCACTGTCGGCTGCTGGTCCCGCCGGGGACCCCGCACGGGCACCAGGACTTTGTCCCTCGTCTGCAGCCTCGTGTGAGCGGGAGGACACCGGGGAAACGCCGCTTCTCGCGGGGCTGTGCAGGCCCAAACCGGAGGCGGGGTGGGCCGTTCAGCCAACACGGTTCTGACCCCGTTCCGTTTCTGCCGTCCTTTGTATGTCGGGGTCCCGGGGAGGAAAGGAAGGGGCTGGGGGATCGGGGAGAGCCAACGGGGGCTGGAGGAACGGCGGAGAGCCGGCGGGGCCGGACAGAACCGCGAAATCCCGGCAGGGCCTGCAGGGCCCGCGGCCTCTCCGCGGCTCCTCCCCGGGCGGTGAAGGGCGCTCCGCCCCGGGGCGGCCCCGCGCCTGCTCCGTGGAGCTCCGGTGCCGTACCGGGCTGTACCGGGCCGTGCCCGCTCCGGTGCCGTACCGGGCTGTACCGGGCCGAGCCCGCTCCGGTGCCGTACCGGGGCCGTACCGGGCCGTGCCCGCCGCATGCCGGGCCCGCGGGCGCTGCTGGGCCTGGGGCTGCTGGTGGCGGCGGCGCGGGCGGGCGGGCGGTGCCGGGATCGCGGCTGGAGCTGGGGTTTGGGCTGGGGCCGGGAGCGGGGCCGGTGCCTTCCCCGCCGCGCCATGCACGTCCCCAGCCCGGGGGCCGGCCCGACGGGGCTCCGCTTCCTCGGGTAGGAGGAAGGAGGGAGGCGGGAGAGGAGGCGGGCGGGGCGGAGGGGGCACCGGGCCGGGGTGCGGAGGGGTCGGGGATGGGGTGCAGGTGTACACGGGGGCTCGGCTCTGTGTGTCCCCCCCGCCCGGCTCATGCAAAGTCGAGGGGATCACAGCCCCCAGGCTGGGCCTGGCCGGGTTTTGGGGTACCCAGCGGTGCCGTGTCCCACCCCAGGCAGGAGGAGGCCCAGGCTATCGACCAGGAGCTCTTCACTGAGTACAAGTTCAGCGTGGATCAGCTGATGGAGCTGGCGGGGCTGAGCTGTGCCACTGCCATTGCCAAGGTGGGGGTCCTGGGGAGCAGAAGGGGATCCTGGCACTGCGGGCTGAGCTGTGCCATTGCCATTGCCAAGGTGGGGATGCTGACATCATGGGCTGAGCTGTGCCACTGCCAGGGTGGGTGCCCAGGAGGTGGGTGGAGGTCCTGGGGGAGAGTTCCAGCACTACATGGACCAGCTGGGGGCCCTCAGAGCCAAGGGAGCATCCTGGGGGTTCTAGCATTAGAGCTGTGCCACCACCAAGGTGGGCACCAGGGAGGCAGATGGTGGTCCTGGGAATCGTCCCAGCCCCATGGGCATGCCAGTCCAAAGTTGAAGGTCTTGTAAATCCTGATCCCATGGTGTGGGTCCACTTCCCCATCGTAACCCTGTGCCTCTTGCCCCCCATCAGGCCTACCCACCCAGCTCCTTCACCACGAGCCAGCCCGCTGTGCTGGTGGTCTGCGGGCCAGGGAACAACGGCGGTGATGGGCTGGTCTGTGCCCGGCACCTGAAGATGTTTGTGAGTCTTGCACAGGCAGCACAGGGTCCCTATGAGGGTGCTGGTCCTGTGGGCTCCAGGATCCCGCTCCTCTGGCTGCTGCTGGTGCCAGAGTGGGATTAGTTCAGGTTCCTTCTGCTCTTGCAGGGCTACCAGCCAACTGTGTATTACCCCAAGCGCTCCAGCAAGCCCCTCTTTGAAGGTTTGACCACCCAGTGCAAGAAGATGGATATTCCCTTTCTCCCCGAGTTCCCAGCTGAGGTGAGGAGCAGCCCTCAGCTTGGCAGCACCTGTTCCTGGAGCTGTGGCCAGGACTGCCCTTCACCTGCCACCATCTCCACTGCAGGCTGAGTTTATTGACGAGCTCTACGGCCTGGTGGTGGATGCCATTTTCGGCTTCAGCTTCACGGGAGCGGTGCGGGAGCCCTTTGGCAGCATCCTCAGCACTCTGGAGCGTGTCACGGTGCCCATTGCCAGCATTGACATCCCCTCAGGTGAGTTGTGGCTGCACCTGCTGCAGGAAGGTGCCCGGCCAGGGTGCTCCCAGCTCCAGCCTGGCCATGGCTCGCTCGTTTCAGGCTGGGATGTGGAGAAGGGGAAGGCAGACGGCCTCCAGCCCGACATGCTCATCTCCCTGACGGCGCCCAAGAAGGCAGCGATGCATTTCACGGGCCGCTACCACTTCCTTGGGGGCAGGTTTGTGCCCCCTGCGCTCCAGGAGAAATACAGCCTGAACCTGCCAGAGTACCCTGGCACAGACTGCGTCCTGCAGCTCACCTAGAGCTGGGGCCAGAGGGGCTGGGGGGCCAGGCTCGGCTTCAGCACTGCACACCTGGGCCAAATTCTGCCCAAGGCTCTGCCAGGAGGGTGCTCAGCGCCTCACTGGGCTCTGGTGTGAGCCTGCAAGATGGAAAGGCCCAGGAGGTGGGAGTGGTGAGGGGCTGCTCTCTTTGGGGCTGCTGCCTAATGCAAGTGCTAAAGGTGTAAGGTGATCTGGGGTTCTGCCACTCACGGCACCACTCACACTTTGGGATAACCTGATCACAATAAAGATTTATTCGTGCCCTTGAAAAAATACTTTAGTACTCTGCAGGGTGTGTCCTTGTGTCCTTCTGTGACAGGCCCATGGTAAATGGGTCCCTGCCCCAGGGCCTGGGGGGAACCAGGGTCACTCCTGAAAGTTCAGGTGGTGAAGTAAAGCTTGATACAGCTCCAGACCAACTTGTCCTAGCTCAGCATCCCCAGGCAGCTGGGCCACAGTGCTGGGCTCCATCTGGAACGAGCTCACGGCACCCACCAGGATCAGGACTCTCACAGCCAGGGGGACTGGCAGCATGGCAGCCCTGTCACTTGCTCACTCTGCCTCCCTCTTCCTCTTCTTCTTCTTCCTCTTCTTTGTAGGGCTGTGTCCCAAGTTTGGCTCATCTGTATCTTGTAGAGGTACATCTGTTTGAGCTGGCTCTTCTTCATCCTCCTCTTCCTGCTTCTTCTTTTTCTTCTTTCTCCTCTTCGCAGCCTTCCCATCCTCTTCCACCACCTCCTCTTCTGTGCTTAGCTCTGGCTTCTTCCTCCTTTTCATGACCTTCCCCTCCTCTCCTGATACCTCTTCTCCACATGGCTCCACGATCACCTTCTTCTTCTTCTTCCTCATGACCTCCTCCTCTCCTGTCACCTCCTCTTCTCTGCTTGGCCCTTGCTTCTTTTTCTTCTTCTTCTTCACAACCTTTTCTTCTTCCAACACCTCCTCCTGTTCTGTGTTTGCTTCCTGGCTCTGTAGCACCTCAGCTCCATCCCTGGACCGTTTCCTTTTCTTCTTTTTGCCCTGGCTGCTCTCTGGGGGCTCCTGCTGCTGCTCCCGTTGCCGGTACGTGGCCAGGAAGGCTCGTTCCTGCTCCTCCAGCCGCGCCAGCTTGGCACTCATGGTCAGGCCGTGCCGGGCACCCCTGCAACGACCACAGGCAGCGAGGACTGGCACTGGTTCCCCAGCCAGCAGGGAAGGTGTTCCCCAGCCCATCCTGCGAGGAGGGGGCAGCCCTGACTCCCCAGGCACTCACTTGTGTGCTGTGCGGCCCCCGCACGCCTGCACCAGCTCCTCGTCCGTCAGCCTGGGGACACAGACAGGACCTGTCACCCCAGCATCCATGGGGGAACACGGCTCCACCTTTCAGCCCTTGTCCCTCCCTATCAAGGGATGGGGCCCAGCCTCACCTCCTGACCGAAGAGAGGTCCAGCTTCTCCTCCTCCTCCTCCTCCTGACTGCTCTCAGAGCTGCCTGTCACAGACTCCTCCCCACAGGCTGTGAGCGTGGCTGACTGCAGCACAGAGACACG